TAAACTTGGCAAAAATTTTGTTTAGTAATTTATATCGCTAATTAACTAAGTTTCTACATAACAAGTTCCAATAATTACAAAATAAATAGTAATGAAAAAATTAGGTTTTTCGCAGTCTCGTTATTCCGTTGGATGTTTCCCCCTTCCGCTGGCCATAACTCGAAATTAAAGTATAAAATTGGTGTTGATGGGCTGACTGACATGACCCTTGAACCGTAAACCTGAGTCAAGTCAAATTTTGGAATAGAGATGTAAACCTTTTAATAAATTCTGCCTACAGCTTTTGATGGTTTCGTTGCAAGGGTTGGGGTTTGGATTGAAGGAAAGCCCAAATGTCGAGGAAATCTCACGAAATATTCCCATCCATTTATGACACGTCTCAAAATGTAAATAAAATATCGAATCCACTCAACACCTTCCTCTTCAACCACGACTGCGAGCGATGTATGTATGCAATATGTAACAAGGTCTGATGTATGTAATGCTGCAAGTTTTTTAATAAAGGGAAAGGTGTGCATAAGGCCTGAGTTTTTGGTAAACATTTATGAGCAAAATGGTACATTTCCTTCCGAAAGCATGTACTCAAGTGCACTTTTCCTGCGCTTAAATGTAAATTGAATCCATACTAAATATAAGAACCAATATTGATAAGTCCGCAATATCAGCCAACTCACCACACACACAAGATACAAACCATTTTCTTTATGTTGCGAGGGATAAACGCTGCGGTTGCCACCAACATAATTAAAGTACATGCTGGCGGTGGTGTGGAATATTTGATGCACCCTCAAATTCCCGAGAGTTGTGCGTGTCTGTTGTGGATAAGGAACAGAAGAAGAGTAGTGAATGCATAAGGTTAGGTAACTAATACACATTTGCTATCAAGGAAGATGCATTATGCATCAACGTTGTCTGGACTTGCGTTCCGAACCTGTAATAACTTAATAAGGATGCACTACAAGATATCTGTATACCCACTAATTTTGTAATATATTGTCTTATTTTACAAGACAATTGCATACTTTGATCAATAATATGAGGAAGTTACAATAAAATAAATAGAAATTGAACCAAATACTACTTGCATGGTTGATTTGGTCTAGGATGTTTTGTTGGTCCTTGTTCTGGTCATTTTCAATTTCCTTTGTCCTCATGAAATGAAGCGACATGAGCAAACAGATCGTTGGCAAGTATGATACCTATCGATGTGGTGGTAGTAGTAGTAGTAACGTACTTTTTGGAAAACAGGGTTCAAAAAGTACTCTGTAATACCAAATTTTATCGCAACATGTCTTGCGCAACGTATCCAACTCTTTCTTAAACAAGTAATTGTGCAACCCTGTCTGGAGAAAGGTGCATTTCATAATGGCCCAGGAAACTGAGCTCATATCATATTATCAACCCTCAACAAAGGAACTTGTTGACCATCACAATTGAACGCAACTGTCACCAAGTGAATGCATAAGGGAGCGAGAGGGAGGGGGACGCAGCAAAGCCAGACTCTCTGGACCACAATCTGTTTTTCGCATACGTGCTACTCAACCATTATAATGGCATTACATTGCCCAGCCTTAGTCCTGCTGGACAAAAGAGAAGAATTATTGAACGCAGCAGTATTCAATACGAAATGCAATCAAACAAACAATGAAACATGTCAGCAAGTGATGGCCTTCGTTTATTGTGTCCCCATTTATTTATTATGGTGGCACGTAGATGTACATAGATGAGGGCAGATACCCAAATGATCAGGTAGGATCCTTGTCCTCGTACATCTTTCCTAGATGAAGCTTGACCATCTTTTGTGGGGAAGATCTGGCCGCAATTACGTAATCAAAATTGGACGGCTTATCTTAAGACTGGTGGCTGTTGAAATTAGACGACTTTGTAGTGTCGGGTGGATTATCGTCATGGCCTAGGAAACCCAAGTCATGGAATGAGGGGGATCAGATCCATCGTTGCAGAATGTTGGTCGCATAGTGTTGCTGGGCTTTTGACGAAGTTGATACATAAATACGTACGATATAGTGACTCACTCATGGGAGGATGAGCATTTGGTCGCAGGTTTGTCTCCCTTCACGATATGGTAAAGTCTGTAAGAAGACATGATTTTTGGGGGGTGAACTAACATACGAAATTCTTTTATTTTGGTTAACAATAAAAGTTAACTTAATTTTATAATGTTAACGCTATATGTAATTTTTGTAACGTAAAACCGCAAAATTTGGATGATCTCACAAAACGACCAAAGACAACCACCACGAATTGATGGTTAGGTTCACAGCTTAAGTTTATTATCTATAGTTGCTGGCCGACCAGGCGTCGTCGCCGGGTGCAGCTGGTCATTTCACTTCCCTGACTAAATCTCAGGGATATACCAAGTGATGTCACATCGAATACTAGGCACAACAAGTGAATGAGGATTTTCTACTCTCTTCTAGTTATCCTTTCTCATCCAACGTCAATCTGAAATATGTACGGACAGAAAGTTCAGAAGAAAATCTTTCCTTAGATTTGATTTTGTTTGCCAGTCATGAATTAATGTCGTACATAAAACTCTGTGAACAAACCCATCATTTTGATTCACAAGACATCGTAACAGTACCAATAAGTCCAACAAGTATCAGAGTTCTAGAGTGTTTCAATTGCCAACACACCGCAACTGGAATTGTTTTTACGTATATGCAGACGAATAACCTTGGTCTTGGTCTGACGAGTTGTCTTTGCCGTGGTTTTCGTCCAGATCAGAATTGTTTCGACAATCGTTATTGCGTGATATTTTCCTATTCGTCCAATCTTTTGAGAGGAAGAAAGTGAAGCGGCGTGAATTGAGGAGAAGCGTAAACGAAGAAATCCCGAGTGATCTCTTTCTCCACTTGTAATTCTAATAAACATAATTTCGCCCGTCTCTTCTCCATCTCTTCTCAACTTTTGGACATGGAAGACTTTCGTGAGAGACTTTCCCCCAAATTCTCCACTCAACTGAAATGAGCAGGATGGCGAAATGAAATGAAATAAAATTGTGCTCTTGACTTGACACATGCTCTGTGTCAAGGGTGGAGAAGGATCAAATGGGTTCTTCGTACATATATATCTCTAACGTCGAGGAGGATGGAGGAATATATAGATTTGGCACTCATTATCTCAGTTTCCCACTGTTTTACTTAAGTTCTTGAATCCTGCACGAATCTCTGAGTTCGGTTGAATTAAAATGGTATTATTTCTTAGCTTACATAGGTCAACGAAATTAAAATTGGTTCCAGATAATAACAGGGTATATTTTATTTATGCGTGTAAGTTTATGTAAAGGGAAATATGCATGAGATGATCAGAAATTGAATCTTTCAGTAAATTTTTATCTTTCACGATCTCATAAAATTGAAGTCGTAAAAACACATACTACAAACATGGAGATGATCTCATTTTTATCTACACTCGCTGGTCGAAAATCGTGTTTGATTATATTTCTCATCGCACTTTCAATCACGCCTGCCACGCTTTTTGATTTTGAAAAACTTAAATCTGTTGTGATTGTGCAAAATGATACTTTTCATGGTAGGGACACAGTCGTCGTTCTTGACATCACAAAAGAAAAATGGGTTTAAAGGGTCGATCGTGTTTAATAAAAAAGGCTCGGATTCATTCAAATTACATCAAATTGAATTCAAAGGGTTCACTCATCACTAATCACAACTCCATCAGTGTGGCATCATTCAGTACATCGTATCCTATTTCTGAGTGTCAATCAGACGTTGCTGTGCTCTCGTATGTATGTACATATGTGCATATTTATAAGGGACATGGTGTATGCATGTACATATATGTATAAGCATTGAGCCGAGTCCGTGACACAAAATTGATCAAACGTAATGTTACTAACCGCAAATTCTAACAACTTCAAAGGGCCGTTTCAAAATGCATGTGAAAATAAAATGAGTGTTTGGAGGGGTCACATTGAATTATATTAAATGAAATAACAAAACTTGTTGTTGACTAGTTGTTGATGGATAAGTTTTGATGATGATTGTGAAGTATGAATTAAAGATGTGAATTTGACTCTGATTTCACTAGGGGATTATTCATACATATTTCAATAGATCATGCATGCGCACTTTTCCCATAAAAAACTGTCAACGTACATGCATGCGTTTAAAAATTTATTTTTTCAAAGGCATTAATATGGCATAAGAAGATGACGCATCAAAATAAAGAACTTCCATCATCATGAATCTAATGATCACTACTGACCGTGTACTACTGACTATGAATCTGAATACATGTCAGTATCCATTGGTTGGTAATTTCATTATTCATATTCACAAACACGCAGTATTTTACACCATGAAAGTTACACTTACATTTTAAAAATTGTAAATACGTTCTATTATTTTTATTAGTTCTGCACATAATATGAACCTTGAAACACATGAAAATGCAATGTATCAAGTTTCTCAATTGTAACTTAAATGATTAAGCTGCATTAGCTCAAATCCCGTATGTCATAATTAACGATATTGATTTCTGGCCCAGTCCTTTCTTTTCGTTTTCATTTTATTTACTTGGCAAAGTTATAATAAAGTTCAAGCACTACTTTCGACCTTCATCTTGAGATCGGCTTCGAATGCTACAAAATCTTTACAGACTGTAATGTTCGAGACCAACGCAGGAGTGAATGTATGAATGGCTGCTTCGTTATTACCTATTTTCAGGAAAATGGAAGCTCTTTTCAAACGCCCACGTCAGCTACTCGAAAGTTGAATAAGTTAAAGCTGTTTATATGTATTTACATACATATGTGCTTGAACTGAATATACTTTTTCCAAAGAAAGATTACCTTTCACCTTAAACACTTCGATGAAAGTTCCGTATCAAAAGAAACTTTGTGACTTTGCATAAGAAGTACGTTCCACGCGGTTGTGTGGGCAATGCATCTTATCAAATGACCTTTCACTTGGAAATATCTAAATGCATTCCATTAAAGGTTAAAGAAACCGTTTTTCAAATTGCAGAGTATAAAATTCCGACGGGAAACATTTATTTTGGCAAATTGAACCTTCATACAGATGGCAGTATACATAGTTCGGAGCTAAAAGAGCAGATCCTATATATTATTTGAAAGCATATATTTACTAATAACGCCATTTTATTTTGACCCTTCTTCATTCTTCTCGATAAAATAAAGCAAAGTCCCCAGAGGTCCTTGAGTTGAGTAGTGTTGAGTGTTGGTGAGGTGACAGGATCAATTTATTTTCATCAGATGAGAAGACCGAACTCAATTTTGTGAAGAGAAAATTCAGCTTCCACCCAAAACCAATAATAGCAGTGGGATATTCACTCATTTGTAATAATAATAGTGGAATTGGGCTGTTGCCACTTTGGAATCCGAAGAGAATGTTGTTGCAAGAAAATTCTTCCATTCTTATGCACCCCTCAAAATCGAGTGGTGTCACCAAAGAGAGATCAAAGACTGGCTTATTCAGCAGCAGTAGGAACAGCAGAAGTAGTAACTACTTTTATGCTAATAAAGTCATTTAATATTATTCTTAGGTGACATCATGTAAATGCAAACGACAACTGGTACAACTCCATTGAGGATTGTATTAAATATATACGTAGAGCTGATCAAGACACGTAAAACTTCGTGAGGATGTAAAGACGGAATAGATATATAAAAAAAACATTTCAGAAAACTATCTGATAAGCAATAGGTTTTCTCATCGTGATAAAAAACATCTCCTCAAACTCAAACAAGCAGCCAGTGACAAGACTTGGCTAAAAAATATTCTACTAAAAGTAAAAATCAAAGAAAAGAAGAAAAGTAATTAAACTCGAGTTCAACTTCAGAATCTCATCCAAACACAATGAAGGACGTAATAATGCTTCTCGTCGTTTGTCTCCCTCCTCCGCGGAGAAAGCATCAAGAAAACTAAAATAACAGGGTCGCCTTCCTGTTCTGCTGTGACAGTACAAGAGCACTTTTTCTGTGCTTGTAGAGGGATTAGTTTCCTTCTTATATCAAATTGTCTACCCAAAAGTGAAAGCTCTGTTGAATGTTTTTTTTCTCTCGGTTTCTGTCTTGGGCTCTGCTTTTCCTCCCATCCTGCACACTTACCAGGGTAAGTGTGCAGGACCGTGTTCTAGCTGATGAAGTAAATGGGAGTAATTTAGCTCGGTTGCTGGGTGGTTGTTGAGAATCCCATCTGACATGATAAAAAATGAATTTAGACGCAAATCTCGACAAACAAAACTATCTTCATTCTTTTTTTCCCATTAACAAGTAAAAAAAAAGTGTACGTCGTTCTCACAAAAATATTTACATGCTAGTCGTTGCGTCATCATGCAAGTTGGCATGTGGATATCTAACGACTAACAATAAGTTTATATTTCTACATATTTACCTTGCAAGAAGTTTTTATATTTTGAGATTCCAATAAGAACTAAACGAAATAAGTCGTATTGCGTACCACTGGAAATAGATGAAAAATATTATCGAGTGAGAGGGAATGAAATGACATGAGCCTTGCTAATAAAATTATGTCGACACAGTTGGGATGTACTATACTCCCAACTTTTATTTAACGAAGTCCATGTTGTTTTGTGTCTACCCCTCAGGCACATACATTCTGTTGAGTTTATCTGTCATAAGTATTTTCTTATTTGTTATTTCGATACATTTCCTCACAAAGGATGAGATTTGGATTAGTTTTTGCTGTTTTGGTGTCTGAAGGTATATGGTATTAGGTGTTGTATTGGCATGAAAAGGTCACCATGCATTCGTAGTAAGAGTGGGAAGAGATTGAATGTGATGGATAATGTGTTCTGGTAGATGTTGGCGTGTGTGTACTTCAGATCTGCTCCTGTTGTCATAAACATTTTGCTATTGATTTGATTTGATGAGGATTATCAGAGAGGCAACGTACTCGTATAACGCATGCAACGTGAAGGGTGAGTAGTGGTGAGAGTTGTGCACTTTGGAACTACTTATGCATTACCTGAGTCTTAATGGAATTGACAGCACACGTGTACTGGAAAACTCATTCAAATGTCACATTTCACCCACTCATTGTCATTAAGGCGACAGTTTGTTATGGCGAATAATGGTATTTTAACATTTTCAGAACAATTTTGGATTTTCGGTGGCTGTTTGTACTGATAGTTCATACATGCAGACTGCCTGCAGTAAGAATCCTTTTAGCTACGTAGAAATTGGAAATTGTTTGTGCAGTCAATATACATACGAGTTTATATGTATACTTATACGTGAACTGCGTACTTACTTATTTATTTGTATTCGAGTGACAAGGAATATATAGATTTCACTTTGTTTATTGTGTGTCAATCATATCTGTCGCAAACATGGAGAGTTAACGACCTAGTCACTTATTTCGATTCTTCATCATTATTCTCCAGTCAGGAACTGGGTTAGGTTGAAAGGTACATATGCACACAGTTCATTTAGTGGTGGCAGTGATGATACCATAATGGGACAGATGCCCGTCATCTCCTCGTGTGAATAGTATGGCTTTGTGGACCCTGCCACGCCGGATGACCCACGGAGACTTGTACATATGCTGGCTGTTGGCATTTAAGGAAACAAATAAAATGAAAAAGATGAAAACTTTCTATCATGCGAAGTAAGCCAATTCAAAAATAATTGACTTGTTCACACTTGGTAGCACTATTTTACAAATTCAGTTCGAAAAATCAACTCTGGGTATTTATAGTGCAAAAGTAGTGTTGAAATTTTGTCACTTTGTGTCCCACGCCAAGCTACATGGATATATACTTAAGTATACAATGTACTAGTATGCATGTAAATTAGCCGCTTATGCTATCTATTCAAACCTTATGGTTATATTAGTGACAACTATGCAGCAGCTTTCCGAAAAGTCTGGCAACGAATGCACACGAGACATTTAAAATTAACCCTTTTTGAGCTCCTCATTAGTTCAATTGTGGTGGGCGAACTTTCTCATGGCTTGAGGGAGCTGAACTCTACTTAATTTGGATGAAATAGGGAATTACTCCAAATTAGGGTACATATGGCTTAATTTATTTATTTTTAGCAGAAAAATACTTGCCAGTTTGTTTCGACCGGGTAAATTTACTTACTTTAGGATTCTAACTTTAGTTTACCAAGTTCATCATGTACAATGGGCATGCCACGCAAGTTATCAAATCTACCCATAGGATCATAGATAAGTGCTTTTGCAATACCTGTTCTCAAATGACGGGAAATGAGAGATTTCTAAATTTCATTTAGGATGAAAGGGTTGAACTTGGAGTGACTTTAATTGGATTGATTGAGGTTTGTTGGTTGATTTGGATCGAATATCAGAGTGTCAAGTTACACTGTACATACATTGACAAAGACCAAAGAGTTCGGGTTTCTTCACTCTGCTATCATCATTTTTATTTACTATGAAATTTAGTACTTCATTATCTGTTCAAACGGTTAAAATTTCAGTCACTGGTATTTCTACGGTGTGGTCAATGTTAAGTGGGGTTTTCGAAAGTCAGGCATGGTGTTGCTTTTCCCCTTGGCCATACACACGTACATCTTTCCATGAGTAAGCAAGTGGTACAATGTATGTAATAGAAAAGGTGAAAGTTGATTAGAATTCCTATCTTGGACTATTTATTTGGCGATAGTTGTCCAAACGAAATTTATTTCCTAAATAAAAAGCGGGTCGGCATGGGTGAGTAAGGATTTCGATTTGCACAATTTCCGTTGAACTCTGTCAAACCTATTATCTGACTCGAGCGGACTGTCCTGAGAAGATTGCTATTTATTTACCTCACTCGTGCTGAACAAAAGTAATGAGACATTCAATACTGGATGGTGACAATTGTGTGGAAGGCGTAGTGGGTGATATTGATGATCGTGTCAACAAAAGGGAGACAGCATTTCAGCTAATCAAATCAAATTGACGGGGCTACTAAATTGAGTTATTTTCAGTAATTCATACTTTTCTTGGTCAATTTTAGATGCTCTTAGATTTTACCACTAATCCAAGCGTCTTAATTATTGTTTTGAGGCGAGTAAGTTTCCTCATTCAATTTCATATACTTTCAACAAGGCAAAAATCAAGATCAAAAAATGAGATTAATGAACTTTTCATAACACACATTTACCACGTTCATATGAATAGATTTACTATATTTTGTAGACTGCCAGTCGTGGGAGCTATGTGATTACCCATCCAAATTACATTAGCAAACAAAGGAGTCACTTTCAAAGCAATGATTATGAAAATGATAATGATAATGGGATTAAGAATGAGCATATTTGACACAAGGCAGGAAATTGAAGGGTTCATGAGCACAGGGCACAGACAGCCAGGCCCTCAAATAATAATAATCAACCCTTTACTTTCCTTCCTCCTCCTCCTCCGCATTTCACATCGCACTCGAGCAGCAGCGTGGATGGAAGTGAGCCCAGTGGTAGTGGCAAATTACTTCCTCCACGATTCCATTCACTTCCAATTTGACATGGAGAACTTCCTCTCAAAAATAAAACACAAATTTCTCAGGCTCTCTGCCATCGTGTGGAGGTTGAGTTATACATAAACAGGACAACTGTGGACAATTTGATGGATTAGTTCATCATATTTTCCTCCTCAATGAGTCATGGGAAAATGTACTGATGAGAAGGTAAAATTGTAAATTAACTCAAATGGCAAATGTTGACAGAAAAGTATTTTTTTGTATTTTCAAGTAAAATTTTCCATAAGCCATGGAAGTTATCCTATTCACCTATGTACCTATAATTGAGACACTGCAGTACACATATGGGTATACGCTTTCGTATGGGTACATCACTCGCAAGTGTGTGATACATAATTAGCTGATTGGACTGTGTGAAGTTAATCATAGTAATTTTCAGTGCATTTGTTTGCTTTGCTCATGAGAATCGAGTTGAGTGTTATGGGGTTGGGAATCCATTTTAAATTCGAATCGAAACATAACCTTCTCCAATTCTGTGAACTTAAGTAATTCAGTAAATTGAGGGTTTGTTGTTTCAACAGGATTGTGTGTAAGTTTGGACCAATTTGTACAAGTGGCCCTGAACATAGTATATGGCACTTTAAGTGCGAGTACACGTATAGAATTACATACTGGTTGCAACAAAATTGGAGAAAATTCGAGGAGGATGCATGTAATTTAAACTTTACAAAGTGTAATTTGTGAGTGATTATTTAAAGGATCTAGATGAAGAGTTTCGGATATGGATAGATACATATGTGTGTATTTTGGTGTAGAAAATTCAGCTGTATATGTACATTTATGTGGGTACTCCAAACTTCATAAATAATTTGGTAACGACAATTCGGATTTAGACAAATCGTGTTGAATGAACCATAAAATATTGCCGAATTCGAGAACGTGTCAATTCATATAAAATAATATGGAATTTTACAGATTGTTGCACACAACTTTTACCATTCATTTCATTGTATTGAGATGAATGCACGAACCATTTGTCTGCCAGTCTACATGTACAAACATATGTGTTGCACCATGTGCCAGTAATGACCATCTCATTCTTGCAAGAAATTGAAGTCGGACCGTGTTGCACTGAATTACACAGCGTAGTGGCCTTTGCATTAGCATAACATTCTGTATTAACATAACCATACATTTTAACGATTATTGTGTGAGGGGATCCCAACATTAGTCAACATTATCATGACCAATGCGTGAAATCACACTATTTTTGGGAAAACTGTATTCATGTTAGACTGATGCATAACATTATTAAAAGTTATGCGGTAGGACTCATTAATCAAATTTCTATTGGAACACAACACAATGCCGAAGTAATGTCTCCAAGGTGGAGTGCTAGTTAGAACCCGAGATGATAAGTTCGCTCCTAGTTCCAAGATGCATTTCTCTGGCCTTTGTTCATTTCCTTCACGGAGATTTCCGCTATTATCACGAAATGCAGTCTGGTGCAGTCTTTTCGTCTCCCATCATCCCCAACACAGGGAGAGAGCGAGTTGGCCGTGGAGTCCAATCTGGAGTGGAAGGGACATAATTCCAAGTGAAGATTAACTTGTGGGAAAGTTTAGTCCACCCATTAGCCTCTCTTCATTGCAGTTCACTCACATCACTCCAAAAAGAAAAGAAATGAATGAACGGAAAACAAAAGGGGAACATTCAGCCATTTTCCAATAAAACCTGGCCAAATGATTTCCCAAAATCTCATAAAAAGTTGTTGAAGCACGACACTTTTTTTAAAGTGAAAGTACTTTTTTTTACAGTATATGTATGCACTTCCAAGGGCAATGTCAACTATTAAGCAATGCTATTGGATCTCCCCTATGGTCTCTGGCTGGATTATCTCCTAATCAAAGGAGAAAGTATTGAACACGACTGCATAGCATTACGTTGCATTTGGGATTGACGGGAGGAGAATTGAGCTTTTGTTTGAACAATGGAGATCAGGTATACAGCTTTCAATACAAGACAAGAAAGGAAGAGACATGTCTTTCACCCCACCCACCAAGCCTGACACACGACTACGAGTTCCCATTTGTTTGGTTAAACTCGTGATTCAAGAAGTCCACCCTGTGAACGAGAGTAGAAGTCCATTAGCCATTATTTGGTTTAGAAGATCATCTTCTGACTTGGAAGAGAAAGTTTGTTTTTCTTGTTCAACCAATTTGTCTTCTCGTTTTTCGATCTTCCATTCTTCAGGAAAAGAAGAAGCAGAGGATGAAATTCTTTAATACGGGTAGAAAACCTAATAGATAAGACTGCAACTTGTGCATCACGTGCAAGAAAGGATAGTAAAGTTGATGTCTGACAACGTGCACCGTTTTCAAGCATCGTAGCATTTCATCGTAGCATGTACCTTTCTATAAAAGGACATATTATTATCGCAAGCATTGATTTTATTATTGATGGGTCTTTACTATTAAATCAAGTAAACTGGCATTTTTTGATTTAATGGTTAGTGCTTCACCCAAATAATTGAAACCTTTTGACATTTATTTCTGCCTTTGGATTATGCTTATAACGACATATAACGAGTTGAAATCAATTTATTACTCAGGCAAAGCTATAATAAAATATGAATGAAGTAATCTTTATCTTTTGCTTTATTTGAGTCCAGTTTATATAAAAAAGACAAAAGTATACATAGTGAGACGAATAATGTGCAGCAGTTGAGAGGATTACTGTCACATTCTGACATCGCTGATAGAGCTCAATGAAGTGAAAAAGTGAAGTTCAACTCCATTTACAGCCACTTTTCGACTTTAGCTTTCACATAAGTATTCTCCTGGCTGTACGTCCAGTAAAGAATAAAAGCTGATAAAAAGCCAGTCCGTGTCATTTCGTTGTGATGGGAGTAGTATACAAAAATATATATATTCACGTAGAAAACGGTCCACACGGGTTTTATTTTGAAACTTGGTTGATTCACAGAACTTGCATATATGTACACAGAGCATACGTATCTTAAACTGTGTAAATACATAGTGTAAAATAGTAATTAGTTCTGGCCCATCATTTTGACGGGCACACGTGTAATCCAACACTTTTGTTGTACACACAAATATTGTAAGAGATGATAGTGTTTATTTCTTGTGGCTCCAATCTCCTTATGGAAATATGCGTGTTGAATAAGTAGCCGTATGCAGAGATGCATAAGTAGATATACTGGCATGACGTACAGGAGAATAAGATTTCATGAGACGCATCGAAGGAATACACGTCTTCTCATCCCATGGACGTGTCACTCACTTTATCCATTTTATACCATTTTATTGTATTTCCTTCACTTTTCTTAAAATGCCTGAAATGGATGTAAAGTGAAATGCAGACAGTCTCCGGTCTTGCATTGGTGACTGACTGACAACATCCACCCTCTGAAAGAATAATCTGATGTAAGCCGCATTTAAATGCAAATCTTTGAAATCGGGTCATCTTCTTTTCTGGAAGACGGGCTCAATGTATACGCATACATATGTACGTATGGTCGTACACATATACATAAATACTTATATCAAATATATACTTCGTCAGGCTTTGTATTCCATTTTGGGAAAATGGTTTCCAGCTACGTCCATGTAAAGTCCAAAATATGAGGCGAAGGATAGAGAATGAATAAAGCATTTTGAAAAAATGTTATAAGGCTTTGAAATTTCAAAACCCTATAAAGTGAATGTTAGTCTATAACTTGAACGTGCAAACTGTCTTATGATCTTTGTTACGTATACATATTGGAGCACACAATGTAATCTGTGTAATAAATTGGGCACGATATATAAGTGAAGGTTAAAGTAAATTCCTTTCTCAATCGTTGGAATTTCTTAACGTTATGATTTTAACTCTGTTACGCGATTCACTTTTTCCTTAACTTCTTTTACCCTGCTTTCATTTTGAGATTTCGGAGGAAAGTGGAAAGCATTTTTTTCTGCTTTCATCCTACAACATAAATTCTTCCTTCGGTCTTGTAGAAGGAATCTGTCCGTTGGAGAAGAAATTTTACGTTTTTCGTTTATGTAGAGAGAGGAAACGTGGGGAGTATAAAATCAACACTTTACGCACCGCAAAACTTGATCAGCTCACTCGTAGTTTTCGAACCAAAGGGAAAGATGATGGTAGAGTGGAAGTTCTGAAATTATATTTGAATGCATGAATATTTTAAAAGTGCGTCGTCGTGGAGGAGCAAAAGTTGAGCAGAAATTTGTAGATATCTCTTTTACCAAGTTGCATACGAGCACGGCTGTCTCCACACATTCTACATTTTCCGGAAGCAAAACTGAGGAGCCAGTGCTCCGTTGAATGTTAAACGTGAAAGAATCTCATGCTGGTCTTTGAAGTAATTATGAGCGAAATCTGGACATTTTCACGCTGATTAATAGCCCGACCTCAAGACAACTTTGAGCATAATTAAATATGAATACTTTATTTTGTTTGAAGTTTAATTACTTTGTGTTGATTTTATTATAATTATTCTACTCTTTCATTATTTCAGGTGGAGCCATTTGCGCTGATGCCAAACTAAGGATTATGCCGGAAGAACAGAGTGGCGTGTACCGACGAGCTCTGGGAAAGCCATCAATATTTACCTGTATTGCGGATGTGGAGATTCCGGACAAGGTGGCCGAATTCAGATGGTGGTGGCCAGACATGAAACCAATTGAACCAACAGACAGCAGGTGAATATACATGTCAATATATGGAAATCATTATTCACGAATTATTGGAATAATATCAAGTAATAATATTTGTGATTTTCGGAAACATTTGTTTGTCAAGCATAGTAGGATTTTCTCTTTTCACATCTTCAACTTTTATTCTAAACAAGGCAAAATATGTCCCCATTCTCATACTCTTCCCCATGAATAATTTGTTTGATGAGGGAATTCCGTGTCCCATTCAGTACTTTCATAAGCAAGAAACAATGGGAAACATTTCCTTTTGGAGTTACTTATAACAATGCTTACGATCGTGTCGATGTTTATGTATGTACATAAATATGGTCTGAGAACGACGAAAGAACGAAAACCCGTTATTAATAGGAGACACCAGGAGCAAGAAAGTTGATTGAAATTCAGAATTCAATGCACCTACGTCTTTGTTTCCATTATTCAACACTAGTTATCCAAGACTTGTAGGTGGATATATGTATAATGCAACCCTTCATGGGCTTCCATGTGTCCTGTGTAAAGTAGCTTCGCTGGCTTTTTTGGGGTGGTGTCGTGGGAGCCTCAGAGTCGGAAGGAAATACACGGACTTGAATAATTAATCAGACACACCGTCATCACCTAAGGGAAGAATAAATAAAGCAACTTGGGGCCTTTCAAATCAAAATAAACGTCGACTGCATATTCTGAATTAGGATTTTTGTAAACTTTTTCATACATTGTACAAAAAAAAACATATGTATTTTAGTTATGCACTAAAATAAGTAAAGTCACAGAATAGCGGAACTACAACTTTAAAACGATTGACAAATCTGACCTCCCTATTTCTTTCTTTCTTTTTTATCTGTTATGTAATTTGGGGTGCATGGATGATGAATTCCACATCCAAGTGAAGGATATGAGAGGTACGCAACACTTGTCTTCTCTATTAACTATCTTTACCAGTGACGTGTGAATGACTTCAAAAGTTGACTTTAAAATTGAATATATATACATATTTATGAAAACAATCTTTTTGCTTTGCTAAGTTTGTGATTTTATAGCATAATTTTAGTTATTGCAATGAACTTGGGTTGATAATTTAAGTTGCAAAAATAAGGGACTTCCTGAATGAGACAAATATTTGACATATATTAAAGAAAGCCAAGATTAATCATTAACATATTTCTGATTTCTGATATCTAGGGCTTACGATAGTTGGGTTTAGAGTTAGAGTAGACTTAATTTTATCTCTAAAATAAAATAATTATATCTAACCTAAAAAAAAATATGAGCTTTGATTTTAACACAGAACGACACAAATGTCACATAACATTCATATTGCTTAGCTTTTAGATTTCAAACTGAAAACTTATTTATTTGCACATACTTTACGAATGATACAAATGGTGTTAAATTTTTAAACCTGAAATTGTATTTCTAGTTTAAAAAGTTCAAGTTTTCCTTCGTTTACTAAAAGCAAAATCTCGCATGCTGACATACCATGTAACACAGACATTATACAAGAAAATGAACAACCCATTCCCAATTTTACAAATTACCTTAATAATGAGGATGGCACATGTAATGATGATTGGTTTAGCACTCGAATGTACATATTTTTAAGCATGCTTTAGTGTTATACGCATCATTTCAGCCAGAGGTTATGCGTAGGATAATAATAATGGAGGAAATATATCAATGAAATTTTCTATAGAGTTGTTTATGAATGCATGGAACATGCAACCCTTTATGATTATGTTCTTTTATTTTGCATTTTTGTTGCTTTTGCGGACGCTGTGTGTCACGTTGTTTGCCGTCAAAATCACGCTTAGAAATAACCGACAAGAAAATTGCGTAACGTAATTTTCTAAATGATGTGTTGTAATTGCATAGATTATCCACAATTTTGAACTCGAAACGTTTTAAACTGTGATTGAGCAATTTCGCAGTGTAACAACAAAGCTTAAGTGAATTACATGCAGGATGTGTTTATTTTCTGGACACAAATTCCACATTAGAAAATCCGTAGCGTGACAATTCCTACTAAACCTGTAAAAAACTCGTATTTGTAAATATAGTCGATAATAGAGCTGATCTCCAAATGAATGACCATTGGATTTCTCTGTATGGATGTGTGCGTGTATGGATGAATGTCTATATTGAAGTTTCGAAATGTTGAAGTGCAAATGGCAAACCCAATACTTATGCATTTTATTCGATATCAAAACAGGGTCGAAATCATGAAGGACACTTTGGGAACATTGACGCTGGTGTTTAGCTCTGTCCAAGAAGAAGACTTGGGAACTTATCGCTGCACGGCCACTTACGCTCTGAACCAACAACTTACTGCAAACTTCACCCTACGGGCTTTTGGTAAGAATATTTTTGTGATTTAAAAAAATTATAAATTTAAGCATTCCTCAAATGCAAATGATTCTTTTTAAAGTACTGAATTTAACGCTAATTGCTAGAGACACATTAGTCAGGAATTTATGACAATTGAGTGGCAATGTAGTAAATTTTTTGTAACCTGTGTGTTTCAAAATTACATTTTTTGTTGAATTTAAGGTGCTTCCCTTGTTTGTTTTTAATTTGTAAAATAGAATGAATGGGCTTGAAGAGTTATTTATTATCATTTTTCGTATGGAGCTATATATTTACCACTAGGTACATGCTGCACTTATGTACATCAACACGAAATTTGAAGAACCGAGTTAGATATTTACGGTTCCAGTAGTTTGAGTGATTTTGGTATTAAGGTCACGTTTCTTCTAATTTGAATCCCAACAAACAAGCTGATACGTCAACTTCCACAAACCAACCACTTGTTTGAAATGTTTAGTAGGATGATTACTTCCTCACGACTTGCACCTCATTTACATTGCATTACAATAATTTAAAATTTAACACGGGGAAGCACAAGGTGAATGGTTTTCCATGTAAAATCAAAATTACTTACCAAAAATGACACACCATTATCATTACATGATTTATGCATATCCGATTTTTAAATTTCTTGAAAATAATAAATTCTCAAACTTTTACATGTATTTAAATACTCTTCCAGTTCCGATTACATTTGACGACGCTCCCGAGTATCAGTTTGCTGTGAAGGGGACAGATTCGAAGGTCAAATGCAGCGTAAAAGCGGACCCTCCTCCGATTGTAAGTTCTATTTGAACATCATTCAAAATAATCAAAATCATAATGATATTTAGTTGGCTTCTCCACTTTCGCGTTAAAAATCCATGTTTTTTAAAATTTAATTTCCACCTACAAAACAAACGTGAATTCTTACATTGTTTATACTTGTTTTTATTTATAAAATATTTCATCCCATGTATTTTTGTGGACTCTAATGTTATTTAGCAATAATTATGACTTATCATTCGTATTCCGTAGGTGGATTGGAAAAAGGATCACGCTGCTATCCAAACCAATGGTGAGCAAAAATTCATGTATTTATTTATTGCTTGAATAACGATGGGTTTGATATAAAAATCCAATTAGAACGGACATGACGTTATCTTCTGCTACATGATAGATGTGACACATAAACTGGCTCTCTACACGAATATATTTCTCTTACATTAGTATTGCCTCCTATACATACATACACTTTTTAATAAAATCCTGGCACATGTCCATTGTCGGATTTTCTTCCTGTATACACCTACCTTTATAGTAGTGACACATTAAATAATTTATGCATCGCTCTGAAATCTTTTGCAATTATTTACCTATGAAAACCTTGCTGATGTTCTCACATCCTATTGTTTCAGCCCATATCGTCGTAGACAATGATGGAATTTTGATTCGAAACGTTCAAGAGAGTGATGAAGGAGTGTACACTTGTAGAGTGCGCGTACAAGACTTGGGGACCGTTGAAGAGAGACATATCAAGCTTGAGGTATTATTCTGATTTTCTTATTAAGAGTTATGGAATGATATGAATGTCACATACCTCATTTCATTTTCATGAATAATGTATAATGCGGGCGCACTTCTGCAGAGGTGTCTCTCATGAATTCTGTCAATTATCATTGGCTTTGGAACGACTGTGACTCTATGATTGTTATAAACCTTGTTATATTAGGTTCAAGAGAAACCCGTGATAATTTCGGACCCCGTAGAATTGGAAGGAGTTGAAGAAGAAAGGGTCACATTCCAGTGTCTGGCGACTGGGAAACCCGCAGCCGAATATGAGTGGGTTGGCGTTCGACATCAAGAATTATTCGACTCACCTCGATACACGGTTGATAAGTAAGTACTTATTTGCAGATATCACAATATACATATATACCAGGTGGAGAAAATCCATCTTCTTCGCCAAGGACACGCAGTGACGCTGAACACCGTAAAAAATCCCGTCATTTTAGATCCGCCAACACAAGTCAGCTTACACACGACTGGATACAATATCTCCCAGCTATTCTACGTGAATAATATTAGATTAGGAATGCACAGAGTGACTTTCACTCAACTTTCTCTACATCACTGATTTGTATTCATATGCCAACTTTCTCCACCTCTACTCCGTTAAATTTCATTTCCGAGATTTTACATTTCAAACGCTTCTCTGCATAATATGCAATGGAGATTGTGCCGAGTGCGGAACGTATGGAAGGAAATGTTCCAATGTTCAGATCTGATATATGGCGATGAAATCACATCACATTTTATTTTTATTTTTCATCGTGATTTTACTTTGGAGAAAGCCACGGATGCAGTTTATTGCATTCGGCTAGACTTTGTGCATTGCTGCACAGGGATGCTGAAGGGATAAGGAGAATACGAATGGGGTGTTTGTAAGACTTGCATATTTTTACACGTATTTATTCCTGTATATAGGTACAAAGGAACCCTCACAATTGACGCACTAAAACCTGAAGACTCAGGTGTGTAATTTTTTTTAAATGTGACTACTACATGATACTAAATCACATCTGACCCTGCATATTCCCACCTTATCTTACAGGTACCTACCGCTGTACGGCGAGAAATACGGCTGGGTTCGACACGGTCACGTCTCGTCTATTCGTCGTTACAAAACCAGTTATTGAAGAGTTCATAAATATCACGTAAGTTCTGAGCAGCGTGCTTATCCTGACAGCAAAAGTGGTCGACTTGAAAATTTTGTTGATACACGAGGATAATAAATAATAACTCTAATGTAGATCTCAAGTCGGAGCCAATGCCGTTCTCACCTGCCGTGCATCAGGGGACCCGGCACCAGACATTGTGTTTCACAAGGACTCCGTTCGAGAACCGTTTAGTCCACAAGGAAGTCAACAGGACACTCGAATTTTCACCGATCAAAGAAAAGATGGGCGTGTGACGGTGGCGCAAGTCAAGGTCGCAGATCTCCTTCGAACGGACGATGGGCTGTACAAATGCATTGCTTATAACAAGCGGACAAGAAGTAAGGACTGTTTGCCTGCAAGGAGCAGAGAATATTGTTTGACGAGTCTGAATAATTTATACATGGCTTTCTCCATTACAAAAATAGCTGAACTTGACGGCCACCTCACTGTGGAGTTTCCTCCTACATTTGCAAATACTCCGATGAAGGAACAATGGGCCTGGGACGGAAATCCTAAGAATCTCTCTTGCTTAGCTGAAGCTATTCCAAACGCAACAATTACTTGGTTCATTGTGAATCATCCAGTCGAAATTCCAGTGTACCCTAACAATCCAGACCCTAACATTGTACAATATGGGTTCCAATCCAACAGTTCCCTTCAGGTACATCATGCTTCTATCTTGGACTCAATCTCATTTATCTCCATTTAAATACTAAATTTCATATGACCAGGTTCGGGCGGTCGATATTACGTATTACCGGGCATACAAAGCCGTCGCCACCAATAAACTTGGGACAGCGGAGCATCTCATTTACCTCAGGTAACACTGTTTCAGTAATATCTCACGGTTGAAATAGCTTTTTCATAACGCTCAACATAAAAAAAACCGAAATATACTATGCATGAAATAAGAACCGAAATTTATTTCTGATTTGAATTCCAGGGAGGCGAGAAAACCTGGCCAGATTTTACAAGTTATAGTGCAAGAGAAAACTGCCACGAGTATTTCGTACCGAATTGTGGGGCCCATGGACGATGGTGGACTTCCGCTGAAAGGTTACGTGGTCCAATATCGAGAGGATAGAACTGTTGGATGGGACGAACATACGAGCGTGATAAAGACGTGGCCAGTCGGTAAGCAGTCAAGTCATCATTTCACAGTGATTCCGCCGACGCTGCTGCCAAATTATTCAACCTTTGCATAATAATTAATTCATTGTGGTTTGTGAACAGACCAATATGTATTCATCATTGAGGGCTTGGAACCTTTGCACACATATTATATCCGTTTTGCCGCGGAGAATGACGTAGGAATTGGTCATTGGGCGTTTGAAAGGTACACTTTTAATTCATGCATGATTACTTGGTTCGCTAACTGCAGGTTAATTGGTATCTAAATTTATTAAAGACCGGAAACAATGCCAAGAAGATCTGCACCCGAACCACCACTCATTCTTTCAGAAGCTTATAACGGTGTTGCGAATACTCCATATCCCGATAGGTATAAGAATGCTATTTATTTTCTTAAATTATAAAAATGAATTTATAATTGTAATTTGTTCATCAATTAATTGAGATCAGTATTAGTTAACTTTGTTTTTTACTTGGATAGATTTGAGCTCAGATGGAGTGTTCCACAGGACAATGGGGAACGAATTGAAGCCTTTGAAATTAGCTATGCCCCGGTAAGATTACATTTTGTACTGCTGAATACTTTTCGTGGTAGTCTTTTTCTTGTCTGAGGACAATGTGTTGCTTTGTTCAGGTGAGAAACTACACAATTCACAAAGGAGCCCAAGAAGTATTTGAGTGGGAGTCAAGTAATAAATAAAGTTTTTTTTTTTTTAAATTTTATCAATAATTTGTTTGCAAATCAAGATTCAAGGTAATCATCTTCCTTATTTGTTACAGTCGGTCAGGCTCTAGAGGAGGAAAAACCTCTTGGTAAATCATCGATTGGAATTTATTTATTGTCCGTTAATTAGTTATTTCAAATAACTTATCTGTAAACAAAACCTGTTGGTGTACCCTTTAGGCGAACCTCGACACGTCCTTCGAAATTTAGTTCCAGGCACCTATTACAGGGTTGAGATTCGAGCGAGGAATGCCATCGGAAAGAGTCAGCCAGCCCAAATTATCGTCAGAACTTCGCCCATTCCAGGAGGTCAGTCCGTTTATGTGTAATTTTCTGAAAATCTCTTCATGACTTCTTTTAATAGCTTTCTATGCGTAATCTAAATAATTTGTCCGCAGTACAATCAAGCTCATTTGTGGCGCACATTCTAGCCAGTTTAGATAACGCTTTCTTGATGTAAAGTGTATAAATACTTATTATGCTTGCCATAGCTTTCTTAACAAGCATTTCTTGTTTGGGTTGGTTTTAATTTGAAAATGTAATATCATTACATCAATATTGTTAATTTATGTTTAAAGACAACTTTTTTTACTCAAAAATACGACATACTTATATACGAAGCTAATAATATTTAGTATTGCTTCCTTTGGTGGAGCTTGTGGAAGAAAATTTCAGATAAAATAACGGAGGTGAAAGGATAACTAAAAATATAACGCGGTTTAATTATAAGATACACGGGATTCCATTTACTTACTTAAATATACTTCTTGGATGTTCTGTCTTCAAACTAGTGATAGCAATTCCCTTCGTTCCATAGGGCGGTAATGATAACCAGACATGAATGATCATTTGACCTCAAACTCATTGTCTTGCTATTAATTCGATGGTGATGATGATGACGAGTCAAATGAATGTGTTTCCTTCTGTAGGCGTTCCGACGGGGTCGGCGATGGCTTCGTCCTCTGTTCAGTATTTGGGAGTGCTCACCCCCATCATTTTCTTGTACAGCGTTACATTTCTTCTCAACAAATCCTCCCGATGACTCCGGTGACCGCAATGCTTGCTAATCATCCTCATTTCCAAACATCCTCATCAACGTCTGTGTTTTTTTACTGCTTAAATGATCCGTGATGACCCACTTATCATTCCAACATAATTAATTATTATTATAGTATTTAGATATTCGTAACATTGTACAATCTGCGTATACCAAATTGTAATTTATTAACTTTGGCGACCCTATTCATTCCATTAACTCATATTGTATATGTAGTACCGTTCAAGTTATATGAGCTTTCCACTTTTGTTATCATTTTTTTATGTTGCTGACGATTTGTTTTCTAAGTCATATTTTATAATTCATAGACGTCTCGTTAAATCGTTTTGGTGATCTTGCTTTGCAAAATTATAAAGTACATCGTGCCATGTATAGTTGTAATGCAAAGCTCTGTACAGTGGGATTGTATTGCACAAATTACATACAAGTTGACAATTGTTTTAGACATTAGGATCACTTTGATTTGAACACGCCAAATTTTTATGTCTGTATTGAAAGAGATCGACCTGCAAGTCTGATTACATGAATGCCTTATTGGAAGTAATTTCCCTATGATGCAGATGATAATCTCAGACAGTTCTCCAAAAATTCCTTCAAGAGATTCTATAGCCCAGTAATTTATTGTCCAGTAATTCTAGTTCACCATGTGAATTTGACGACTCAATTTGTTAGACAAATATAGGTTTGAATTTATTTAGACCGAGTTTTACATATGTAGTCAGTCATCTTAAATGGTCTCAGATTGACATATGTACATATTATTTCGCAACTAATTAGATTGAATTATCCCCGCTACGTAATTTCATCTACTTACTTACATATGTAATACCATCGTATATGTATGTTAATCATATATAAATTATAAGCTGAGAACAGATTGATGATGCGTATATTGCCGAGACCCCACAATAATGTGAATTGTCATGTACTAACAATAATTATTGTTACTATTAAGAAATAAAGAAAAAGAACAAAGTCAGGTCTGCCAGACAATACTACAAATGTACTTATGCATACTAAATATGTGTCTATCTACAGTGTAAACATCCAAATTTAACTTATCCGAAACATGCAGTTATAGACGTGTTAAATATGTATTTAACTCTGGTACATAATTTATTCTGAAAACAATAAATGTCCGAGTCGTTAGTAAATAAGTACATGTTATTGTACGATATTATTGTACACGTTGCGGTCAAGGAGGAGATAAGTCGTTGATCATAATGCTTTTCTAACCTTGTCGTCTGAAGCTTTACATATTTTGAAAACCATTCACGCCAATACTAATCAGAAACATTATTGTCTCGTGTGAAGCTGACTTTGGTATTATTGCTATTTTCTGATTGTGTCGTGTGTCAACTAGTCGATCATCAAATTAACTAATGATTTTGTCAAATGCAATGCAAATTGTAACCGTGTTGTGGTATTATTTATATACAAATCTAAAAATTCTACAAAATGCTCTTGCTCCTGGTTTGTGACTGCGCTCTCTATAATTTGTAAGTCTGACTTTAACTCAACTCTTTAAAAATAAAATCTGAAACTCTGTTAATTGCAGTTTCACACTATTTTCCTAGCCTCGTATATGAAATCAGGATGTTATATTATGTACGTAATTATGTTCCAGATTCGTCATCTTATGACTTGATGCGTGGTGAGAGTTTTCAGTCACTTCCTATGCTCATTGTAATCATTGCTGTCGTCCTCCTTCTCATTCTCCTCTTTGTGGATGTCATTTGCTGCAAAATCAACCAAATGGGTATGAAAATATAGTTTCTGAATATATATTAAGTAAAAATGCGAATGTATGTATGAATGCATGAATGTAATTCAAGGAATCTTGTGGGCTATTACTCACAAATTGTGTCATAAGAAAAAATCTCGGGAATCATTAGTCAAGACGGGAAACAATGATGCTTCAATCCAGTAAGTTTGCATGTTGGAAATTTTTAACATGATGGTTTGGTTTAATTTGAATAACATGTACTAATAAGATTAATTTGTGTGCAATTCTCTATAAGTGAGAAACAACCTTTAGCGGATGACAATGGTTATCGCCAGCATAGTCACATCGTTGTCCCCGAGTGAGTTATCATAACATGTGTATTTAATACATAATATTAACATTTTGCATTTTATTGTTGAACATTAAAGTCTTTTTCTATATAAAAGTCAATTCGAAGTTAACGATTTGTTGAATTCTTTCAAACAGGACGATGAAAGTGAATGGAAATGGAAATAAGAATGGACATGGACAAGCACGAGATTCGGAAGTGTAGAAACTCCATTCACACAAAAATCTTAAGGAAATTTGTGAAATGTTTGTCGTTAGTTTGTAACTCTTTGTGCATTATGCTGCAACAGACAGACTACTCCCTTATTTTTGAACTTTAACGAAAATGTTTTTTATCTATTGGATCGTATGTACTTTTAGTTTATAGTAAATATTATTTGTGAAAAAATCATCAAATGTTGTGCATCTAGATGTTATATGAGACTAGATAGTCCTTTTTGTAATCAATGAGTATCAATGATCTCGGAATTGTTTTTACATGTAACAAATTCACTGTGTCTATTTCTATTATTACTCAATTTTTAGTTAAGAGCTTAATTTAAGGCCGTTGTCACAAAATGCAAGCTTTACCCATATTTTGTTTTATATACTCGAATTTTAAAATAACGATTTTCTTTTTCTTGTATGCCTTAATCTGTTTCATGTTTTTTTGACCAACTGTATTACTTAATTGCTCTGATGATAAATTTTTGAACACGAATTTAAAGTAACGAGAAAAAAATAGACCATGCACATTGATTCACTGCACCTAGTCCATATTACCCAGTGTTTAACAGAATTGGTTAGTTTAGTTGGTGTAGTAAAATGTTTTATATAGCAATTTTCAACGATGGAAAAAGCTTAGGTTAGATGAAATTGTAATGTTGGGATGAGAAAGTGCTTTTAAACCTTAAATCATACTACCCTAGCACTTATACATACATTAACGTACTGAGAGTTTAGCTGTAATTGTATTTTTGTACATGGTCATTTAAATTTGACCAAGACTTTTACGCCCAATCAATCTTTATTTATTACTTCCCTTTTCAAGCAACGACTGGACGGACCATGACTGAAATAGAAATAAACAACTTCCTGGATCAAGACAAAAATGAAGCTTATTGAATTATTTTTAGATCTGATAAGATTCGCTCTACTTACAGAGTGCTATCTAGTTTCAATTTAGAGATCGCAAGCTTGCTCTGGGTATATGTATATGCACTGATAGGTAGTCTAAGAATCTGTTTCAGGTATGAGTGTAAAGTGCAAGTCTGGGAAAGCTATTTGACGGCTAGTTGTGTAATTGTATTAATTATTATACATAATTAATTAATAAATAAATAACGAATAAATAAATTACATTTAAATAAATCAAACAACAAATTCGTAGAATCTTCTCATTTATTTATTTATCGTGAAACCAATCAAGATTTACATAAATTATGGCTATTGTTTAATTGACACGCGATAACTTTACAATAAAATTTACTACGGCAGGTTCTGATTTCAACATGCTACATTTTTTACTTGACATCTTTTACGATTCTTTTGACTTGCTCTCATCAATAGGGCAATTTTTTAATAGGGCTCTGGCATTTTAAATTAGACACATGAAGCCCCTGAAATGATCTCAATCAGCTCTCTAGTAATCACGGCCTGTCGTGTTCTGTTGAACATAAGGGCCAGTTTCTCAATCATTTCTCCTGCATTTTTGCTAGCGTTGTCCATAGCTGTCATTCTAGAACTTTGTTCCGAGCAAGCGTTCTCTTTCATGGTGTAATAAATCTGGGAAACCAAAGAGTACTCCAAATAGTTTTGGAGCACGTCAGCATCCAAAGAATCGTACATACTAAGTTTAGGCGCAGCGTTTACGGCAGCCAAGCTGAAAATTGGCAGTTCAGTGGTCTGATAGGACACCACAGACTTGAACCTGTTGTAAACGATTTTGCCAGAATCGTATTGAAATCCCGAGTCGAGAATTGCAGCAACAATTTTTGCCGCATCCTGTAAAAAAACGTTAACATGTGCCAATTATTTTCGAAATAAAAACACAATCTGATGTTGGAAAAAAAATTATGACGATATTAATCATGCTAATATTTCATATTCTTACTTCGAACTGTGGGGGCTTTCGTCCCAATTCTTTGCATGCGAATAAAATATTTTTGCTAAATAGCCGTTGTAGGATACCACGGGCTTTGTCACCAACGCAGACAAGCATGATGTTGTCAGATGTGTTTTGGATTGTATTCTAAAAAATAAACCAACAACTTAGATAAGAAGACTGGAAGTATGATAATAATATTGATCGCCGGTTTCCTCTTCTCCTCACCCTGATCAACTTTGCCACGGAAGAGTGAATAGCTCCACAAAGACCTCGATCGGAACTAATGGCGATGTACAACTGGTTCTTATTGTCCTCAGGCGCGCTGACCTCGGCCTGTTCGTAGAAGGCCTGTGACCCCACACCGAATGGTCGTGCTCCCTTCAACTCTCTCTCCGCCCGAGTGAACTTTGCAGCTGACACCATCTTCATGGACTGAGTGATCTTCTGGATGTTTTTCACAGACTTGAGGCGGAGAGAAATATGTTTCAGGGTGGCCATTCCTCGCTGTTGTTGGTTCCATAGCGGCGCCGCGGCTGCAGGTACCGCTTGGAACAGGAGGACACTCTTCTGGCTGAGCATGTTCTAATAAAACAATATTAAACAAATTATAAACTACACATAATTTATATATTAATACCCCGGCATTTTTCATTAAATATTTTTTAGAGGAAAAGGAAGAAATTATTAAGTAGTACGAAAATATGTGAAATTAGATGGCTCACCTTACTGACTAGTTCGGAAGAGGTCCACAGATAATTCGACTTGTCCGAATTCTCCCAAAACCTGAAAATATGATTTGTTAGCAATTTCAAAATTTTAAGAAATCCAAAAATTACTTACCGACAAATGATAGAATGGAAGGTTGATGGTGGTGGAGTACGAAGACCGAACCCTGCACTCGGAATTTGGCTGCCTACGCCATCTAAACCTCATTTTCCTCACAGCGGCACTTTTGCTTTTTAGACAAGCGGAACTGCACGTGCACACAAAAGCTCTGCTCTCCGGCATTGCCAGAAATACCATCTCAGCGAGATTCGACCTATGTTTAATTAAATACAGAAAGAAGATAACAACAAGAGTCACATTATAAAATGGGTCGACCTGGTAAGTTCTGGGGCCTTATTCTTAAATTCAAGTTTTATTTGGGGAACATTTCTCCAGGAAATGAACTATTTTTTTGTACATTCATACACTGTACATTAAACGCATATATTATTATTGGATATATTAAATATGGATGTTGGATTTATTGTGCAGGATTTGGAGACCGTGGTGGTGGCGGACGTGGAGGTGGAAGAGGAGGAGGTAGAGGATTTGGTGGTGACCGTGGGGGTGGACGAGGAGGTTTTGGGTCTCCAGGAGGTCGTGGACGAGGGGGTTTTGGGTCTCCAGGAGGTCGTGGTGGTGGTCGTGGTAAGCCTAGCATTATAAGATAAAGAAGTCATATTATATGGGGACACGTATTGGATTTGTGTTAAAGTGAATATTTTTAAAATTAGGATTTGGTGGCCGTGGTGGTCGAGGAGGTGGCAGAGGGGGTCCGGGTGGAATGAAAGGTGGTAAAAATGTCATCATTGAGCCACATCGTCATCCTGGTGTATTCATTGCGAGAGGAAAGGAAGATGCCCTTGTGACGAGAAATATGGTTCCGGGGGAGTCTATTTATGGCGAAAAACGGATTTCTGTTGACGTATGTTAATCAGTGTCGTATCATGAAGTAATAGGTTTGTCATTGATGTTATTGGTTATCATTGTTTGTTGTTAACAACAAACAGGGTGACGATGGAACCAAGATTGAGTATCGAGTCTGGAATCCGTTTAGATCGAAGCTCGCTGCAGCTATTTTAGGAGGTGTTGATCAAATTCATATGCCTCCAGGCAGCAAAGTTCTCTACCTCGGAGCTGCTTCTGGAACTACCGTGTCACATGTTTCGGACGTTGTTGGTCCAGTAAGGCGATTTTATTATATTTAATTTGACTTGACTTGTCTTGACTATTAAACAATTGAATGATCATTGCTTTCTCTTACAGGAAGGGCTTGTTTATGCTGTCGAATTTTCGCACAGGTAAATTTAAGCTTGATCCCATGAATAATTCTTATTGTCGTAAAATTATGAGATATCGTGAATAAGCCATACTAAATTTATGACTTTTTTTCACAAGATCTGGTCGGGATCTCCTTAATGTAGCAAAGAAGAGAACAAACATTATTCCAATCATTGAGGATGCCAGACATCCACACAAATATAGAATGTTGGTGGGAATGGTGGACTGCGTTTTTGCCGACGTTGCTCAACCTGATCAGGCTCGAATTGTTGCATTAAATTCGCAGTACTTCCTTAAAAATGGTGGACATTTCGTCATATCAATTAAGGTATTATTTGTTCATGTTTTTGAGAAATTTAATTTGAGCGATTATGCATCTATATATTTGTAAATTTTACAGGCCAACTGCATTGACTCTACAGCTGAACCTGAAGCTGTTTTTGCTGGTGAAGTCAAGAAGCTTCAGTCAGAAAAGTTCAAACCCCAAGAACAGCTCACTTTGGAGCCTTATGAGAGAGACCACGCCGTTGTTGTCGGAGTTTACAGACCTCCCCCCAAGACCAAGGCTTAATAATAGTAAAACAGGTGTAACGAAACGCGCATCATCATAAATTATATGAATCATTTATTTAGTTTTTCCTTTTACAAGTTATCTTCATGTGCCTACTGTACAACAAGAACACATTTATTTTAAATGTGTACAATATGCAAAAATTAAATACTTCCTATTGTTTTTTATGACTTTGGAATTGATAGATGATTCAGTTATTTGTTAGACCAATTTATTAGTTTTCAACTTATTTTCTAGTGTATGCTGTTTTACAGCAGATTAAACACGTAAGGTCATTTTTATTCTTAATGTCAGCTTACATGAAGGGCAAAATAAAGTAATTTTACTGACTTCTACTTGAGCATCACTTATTGCGTAATATTTTATTTATTGCATCAAATGCATATGTCACAGTCACAAAACGGATTATCTGTAAGTTTACGGAGATTCAGCATTACTGGTAAGAACGAGGAACACTGTGGAAAACAGTTAAGTAATATGGTCTTTTATTTTGTAAATTGTAAGACGATAGCGTATTACACAGATATTCTGTGTATTTAACATTGATGTATATTCATATACCTAGTCAAACTTCAGAAACAAAAATATTCCAGGCAAATTTTAACCCTTATTAGTAAAGAAAATGAATGCAAATTTTAGACTTTTTATTTACTAAAGTATCAATATAGCTGACAAACGAAGGGTAGCATCCTCAATAATTTTGGCTAAATCCATACTGCCAGCGATAACACCGGATATTTTAATATTGTAATATTTGAGAAACTTGTGTTTAACACAATAAACTTCACAATTGATAAATGGAAAAGTTTGAAGAATACGCATGGCCAAAGAAATAAAGTATTAGTAGGAACTGAGCGCTTAAATGCTTCAAAATCTACGACCCCCATAAAAATGAGCGGAATCCCCTGCACAAGGATTGATTCCAAATCCCTGAAAACTATTCGGAGTAACGAATACACTTTCTATTGGACTTATTTCACGTTGATTTCGTTGAACTCTGCTACTAAACGACTCTTGAACTTGCCCTCCTCGACGTTCATTTCTGGGTGAATTGACAGATGATTTCCGGTGCATGCTCGACATTGGAGATGTTGATCTTTCTCGTCCATCGATATCTGGCCTTGAGGGGACAGGAAATGCAGGTCCAATTTTGTATTTTTTCAGCGGTGGCGGTGGTGGTGGAGGGGATGAATTTCCTTTAGGATTCAAATCGTAGATTATTTGAAGATCGTCGTCATCCGTGTTATCTATAAAATTAAATCAATAATTTTTTGGCAAAGTTGAGATCATTCCTTCAGCACACCAATTTGTTTTCTTGTAAGTTTGAAATGATTACGTACCCATTTCATTTGACTGTGTTGATAAATATCCACCACTAATAAATCCACGTTTCATTGGTTGGGAAGGTCTAGAACCATAACTAATCTGTTGTGCGTTGCTGCTACTACCATGTCGACGTAACGATGAAGTTGTAGAAGCAGCATTCCCACATGAAGGAAACTCAAAAGAAGATAGATTTGAATTATCATTGCTATTACAATTAAAGTAACGAGTATTCCGTGGTGCACCACCATTAGTAGTGGTAAAAGCTGGACTATTGTCTTCATCCACCCGCATAGATCTTTGGTTATCAATCCTTCGAGGCGATAAAGTAACTTGGCGAACATTATGACTTCCATTATTCTTATTGAACTGATTAGGTCTTGAGTAACTACTTTCAAACAAAGCACTACTACGAGGAGCGAGATTAGACTGGTGGCGTGGTTCTTCTTGGTCATAACTCCTGCTGTCGCTGCTAAAGAAACGATTGTTTGGATTAAGACTGTTGTTACTAGCTTTATAGTCAAAAGTTGGATTTGGGAAACGACTGAGATCGTGGTCCTGGTTGTTAAAGGCGTCAAAGCGTGGGTTGTCATTAATTAGAGGGGGTAGTGGCTGTTGGTCATAAATCTGACGTTGATTTTGGCGTAAATGTGTAGGATTATATTTATCTTGTTGATCATTATATGGATCATCATTTGGGTAGCCTTGATGGAGCTGTTGTTGGCGATATGTATATTGAATATTTTGGGCGATGTTTTGATAGACACGATTTCTATTGGAAGAATCGATTTGTTGATGATATGAATCATTCACTTGCTGATTTCTAGGGTCAATTCCTATACGCGTAGCGTTGATACCATGAGGCAAAAGACTCTCGGTGTTCTGCAATGGAATGGATTGAGTATTACCTCCAATACTAATTTGATTAAATGAACTAAATTGGGGATTTGGAAGTAAGTGAGTTGCAATGCGAGGGTGGTTTGGTTGTTCGTTGTAGTGGTGGTGTGCAACTGAAGGGGGATTAAACGTTCTCATACCTTGAGGTTCCGGATTTCTCACAATTCTTTCTTGATAAGGTGGTTCATAATTGAAAGTTGGCCCCAATGCTGTTGCTGGTGACCCATATGATATATTTGGCTGCCGGGCGTAAGAAGAAGGATGTTGTTGAGAAAACTGAGGGTGATTTCCTACTCCACTACCCCCACCAGAAGCCCAAGTAGTTTGTCCTTGTTGGTGGTAGGACTGCTGCGGCTTGGCCATATTAGTTGTTGGTCTAACCGTCAACGACATTAAATGGGGCGGAAGACCAGAACGTACATTGTTACTTGTTGGTGTTCTGACAAGCCGGGGGTGAAAACTTTGTCCTTGCGCTGTTGCAATCCGATCAGTATTATTGTGATTTTTACTATTATTACTATTTGCTCGTGGATTATGAATGGGAATTTGGCTCGGATTTTTTGGTGCTACAGATCGGTCTTCCTTTTTATTAGCTTGTAGTTTTGCTTCACGCTTTCTCTTTTTGTTGGCTTTCTGGTTCCATTTTTCATTTCTACTTTTGATAAAATTGTCGGCTTTCTGCTGATCAAAATCTTTGGATTCATAAAGCCATCGTTTAACCATTTTGTTGATGTAAGACATGGCCAGTTTTCTATATACTGACTTTATCACATCAACTCTTTCAACGTTAATGCCAGGAGATACACTAGTCATTGTTAGGGTAGCAAGTGGAGTAGTTTTAGAAAAAGATTTGGAAATTTCACCAAGTAGTCGACAATCGTAACATATCTCGGGTTGAAGCTTATTGCAAGCAATGAACGATGTAGTTTTAATTTCTTGCAGGCGAGCTTCAGGAACCTCCTCGTACAATAGAAGAGAAAAATCAGTAAGACTTTTTCCTGAAGCCCATATCTTGGGTCGAAGTGATTGACTATATTCGTCAAGAAATAGCTACAACGGGAAAGAAAATCAAAAATCATATGCATAAATAAATAAATTTTTACTTAGGAATAGTTAGTTGTAATAAATGTTAAAAATGTTATAACAATCGTTATTTACCTTGTGAATCGTCCGGCCGTCGGATTTGACTCTGAAGCTCAAATCAATTTCTTTCTCGCTGTCAGAAATCGCCATAACTTTTTGTAGTACGGTTTGATTGCTTCGTATCTTTCCATCATGAATAACTTTTGAGTATTCCTCCGCCCAAAATTTCTGACCTATTTTTGGCATATTTACTAGACCCAGGCAATTAGTCCAAAATTTTTGATTAAATTCCAAAAGATGTTGCAAAATAAGAAGCTGAAGCTTTTGATACTGCATATCTCGTGTCCCGGAAAATGTTCGTGCCCTGTGGAGAAAAATATATTAGGTAACTTGAATACGCTACATTATTTAAGATGTTGTGTTTGGAATCCAGTTAATAACCAAACAAACAAAAGTTATTATGATTGTTCTAATTATTCCGTATAAATAAATTATTAAATGGACTAACCAGTAGTTGAACAGTGGCGAATTTAAAAATACAGTACAATCCTTTATAAAGATTGAATCATTTGATTCATCATCTTCACTAATCATGTCAGCATCGTTACTTTGATCTTCATTGTTACCGACATCGTCAAAAAAGTCTGACGCTCCAGGTCGTGATTTCAGTTGAGCGGGAGAAGTCTAAATTATAAGAAAATGTACTCTCTACACCCATATTATCGTGTTCAATGAGTGTAAGAATGATTTTGTACCTTGGATGAAGAGGCAGTAACTACTACATCACAATTGCGAGCGGACGACTGATTGTTGCCAGTAACATTTGATATCGCACTTGGAACAACAGCGTTGGATTTCTTTGGAATCTTGAAAGTTGGAGAATCAATACAAACTTCGCCAGGAATCACCTATTTATTATAAATAAAAATTTAACGAATTTATAGAAATTAATAAGGATTTGAGAGGTTTGTTAGAATTGTTATATGTTTGTTGCATAACTGCACTTACACTGGTTGTGGGCCCGTTGAGGGGAATTGTTTTTATCAGAAACTCTGTCAAATCTGGTTGGTCGGACGTGAGCAAATTCGATAATATCGTGACGGCTTCTTTGCACCCGTTCTGGAACTTTGTTACCTCACCTGGAGTCACTCCACGGCTGCAATTCAGAGTGAGGTCGAAAGGATGTTGAATGCATAGTGGAGTCTGAGAGCAAATAAATTTTTTTGTGCTGACAGATTCAATCGCCGATGCCATGTTTGAAGACCGATCATTACTCATTCCAAATCTGTACACTCGGCACAAGTCACCAGGCAAATTTCCTACAGAATGTGGCTGGAAGTCTTTTTTTGGGATCAGGTAACCGAATCTTGTACAAATTGTATTTTCCTTCAAATCTGCATTTGCAAATAATTGAAACCAATCTTTAACTAGACCAATCACACTCATGGCTCTGATAGTATCATCCTTTAAAATGTCCTCCAGGGGGTTGGGGTGCAATTTTTTAATAGTGTCAACATCCGTACAAAATGTAACATTGTTTCCGTTGACAAACTTTTGAGATTCTGAATCTGAAACGATTTCTTGAAGTTTCTGTACTGTTGGTAAAACTTTTTTTTTTTGCAGAAAACCCATGATCAACAGTATAATGACTTGATTGGGATATGATTGTTTGAAATCTTGTAGGAAGTTGTTAGATGTAGCCCATAATGCAATCACGAAACTCATTGGAAGTATACGTGGGTCCAGGTTGCAGTACAACTTAAATAAGTTGCATTCGTGGGAAGGAAGAGAATTCGAAAAACGTAGTTTCAAGTTGGTTGCTTTGCCCGCAATTACAGAATTTATACAGATTTCCGTAGAATCTGCTGTCGATACCTTGAGTATTGGATGTTCCGTTGTATGTTTTTCTTTCAATGAAGAAAGTGCTTGAGTAGAACTTTTTATGATTGATGAGATCATGGAATCTGCAGAATTTGGGTTGGATTCAAGCAGTTCTGAAATGACAAATTATAAAACAATTAACTATTATTCCTGTTAAGTACTCTAACAGCAGCATTAGCAGCAATATGTTGTATATACCTTGAACATCGACAAGAAGCTGCAAAGCAGACAACTTTTGTAATCCAAGGCCTGTTGTAAGGTCACCAAATGGGATCTTTTTCTGCTTTAGATTTAGCTTCCCTACAGTTTGATTTACAAATTGTATAGCTTCATTTGAAAAGGTCGGACTCCAACCAAAGGTTGTGCGACATTGTTCCAACTGTGCTTCAAGGGACAAGCCTTTAAAACTACTAAAATGATTTTCTCCAGACGATGCAATTGATGATTTCTCTTCCGTTATCTTGATAGGCACTAGGGTTGTAACTGATACAACTATAAAGAAGGCACAACCGACAAATTAGGTTAGCAGAATTATCCTTTCAATAAAAAACGAGAATAGCATAGTATAAATTATACACATACTTTGAATATTCATCTCCTCTTCTTCTTTGGGAAAAGTCTCTGTCTCACCATTATCATTAGCCTTATTTTCAGATTCAGCTATAATTTCTTCACTGTTATCTCCATCATCATCTTCAGTATTCAAATCGCACTCCTCAGTACTATTGAGAAGTTTGTCTTTCCACTTCCGCCACTTTAACTTTGTCTTGTCGTCAATCAGGGACATGAGAACATTCTTCCTTTGCGGACCAATGCAATGAGTACCGGCTGGCATTACCAATTTTTCAGCTGCTGCCCTATAACCACAATAAATCAGCTAGTTAGATAAAACAGATACAAGATATGGAATAATTGACTGCAATAATAATTCTCACTTGGTTGCAAACAACGTGTAACAAACATTAATGTCTCCATCGTTCTTAGACTTTGCCAGATAACTGAAATCTATCACAGGACCTCCATGTGCAGTCTATAATAAGAAACAGTGTGGTGACCAGCGTGTTAGTATCCCTCCACTATGTAAGACTTACAAGTACAATTACTTACCACATATCTTAGAATATGAACTGATTTTAATCCTTTCGTTTGGGTAATCATTAATTTCTTGTCCAAATCCCACAACACTTTCCGCAAGTGCTGGAATAATAAAAAAATATCCAAATTATAGAACTTGTAACTAATTGTTTTTCATTATTATAAGCATAATTTTAATCATTATTTTAATCAATAGCTACTATTGAACATTCCAATTTGAAATAGAAGAATATTTTTGTTTATGTTAAGGAAGTAATAAATGAATAAAGATCAATGTTCATTATGTGATTTGTAGACAATGTGTCCAGTGTTTCATTTAGAGAGTAATTATTACTTATGATTAATATTTCATTTATACCTGATTCTGTCTGTGAACATCTTGATGTTTTTCTGAAATTAAGTGTTGAACCCATTGTTCTTCCCCTCGCCCCACATCCAGCTCACAAATTTGACAGCGATATCCAGCTTCTTTAAAAAATCCGCCCTCAGAAGTCGCATAAAGTTTTCGAAACCTAGCACTCACTCGGGTAGATTTGGAAGATGAAATTGTGGATGCGATTGAAGTTGGAACGGAATCTGATGTCGTCGACGTGGATGCAATTTCAGTGGCCGATAGAAAAGGGTGCATATCAAGCTTTGATTGCGGTGGTGGCGGCGGCAGCGGTGGTGCTTTAGCTGCAGGTTTGTTTTGTATTCTTGTCTGGAATGTGATATTTCCAATTGTATGATTTCCAGCCTTATGAATTATTTTTGCAGACTTTCTATAAATGACACAAAAAATATAGGAATCACTTGATAAGCAACTTCATTGCACGAGAATAGAATGAAATGTGCATTAATTTAATAATCATGTGAGAGTTGCCTTACTCTTCAACCATTAACACCTTGCAGTACTGCGACTTTCCATCTTCTTTGTGTACATAATAAAAATTTTGCAGATCTCCAAATCCAATAAAGTAATTAATTAGCGATCTCGCCTTCAAACCCAGGGTACCAGTAGCGACCACCGTTCGATTATCGTCCCACTGCGCCATCGATTTCTTGGCTCCTTGGGTTCGCTGAACGTCTCCATGTTCTGGCGAAATGAGATGTTCGAGCCAAGTCGTGTCAGAGGGAAACGTCAGGGCCGCACTAGTTCCTGCTTTGGCAGCCACACAGAAAGTGCACGTGTACATTTTGCCCTAATAATTATGATAACTAATTAGTACAGCCAGTTAGTTTACGCTACTCGGATCTTCTTAGTGCAATTCCTCACCTTGTAGTTTTCCCTGTGACTAAGGAAAGTCACTGACCTTTCCACATGCTGAATTTAGTAATTCACAAGCTCCCACAAACAAAATTGATTTGAATAGTTATTAATAATTGATTCCAACAATTCTTACAAATAATAAATTTATCCTCCTCAGTTTTGACTGCTGTCTTTTTCGTAAAGCAGTGCAAAGACTCTGTCTGTCCAGCCGCTTCATTTGGGAAATATGAGACTTTCGATGAGACATGAGTTGTACGATACTCCGAGTCGGAGTCTCCGACAGAATGAGATGAGACAACAACGGAGTAAAGTTTTTGAGGCTTGTGAATTTATTCAGTACCAGATTCATATTTATTTATTAGAGCAATAAAAATAAATAAATATTATTTTTATATTTCAACCTGAATGATTTCACTTTAAAAAGCTTTAACAGCTGTAATATATAAACCGGACGGGACAAGCTAAAGTTTAGCTTATAAACACATGTTTAAAATAAAAAATATTAATCGACATCAACTGCTAACCGGTAACTAAAATAGATTCGATTACATCAAAGCCAGATAAAAGTTAAGGATGCCAATCGTCAGTCTTTTTGTTTTTCTTCCAACCAGAAGAAGAAGATCCTGGTTGGTTGATCCTACCAGATTCTTCGCCGCCTCGTGGATCTCGCAAAATTCGGCAAATCGGCTCCCGTGGAATTGATCCAGGAGTCGTCCGTTTCTTATTAAAAGATTGATGGTCACTTTGCTGTATGGGTTTTGGACTAGAAAATTGGAGTTCAAAGCTGGATGGGTTACTGTCAGTTTCCCGTTCTCGTTTTCTAGTATATGGCCTTCGAGACGCTGAGAAATTAATATCTTCTGGGGCAATATCATTGACAAACATATTTGGATTATGTAGAAATCCACCAATTTTTGGAGGGGGTGGTGGAGTGGGGAGGAAAGTAGACCTTTTAGGAATATTTGGTGTCGATGTTGCTACACTTGGCATCCCTGCAATTCTGAATGGTGCGGGGGGAGGTCGAAGTGGTGGGGGACTAAGGGAAGCTTCGTTATTTGAAGGACTTTGTTGTTCCCAGTCAGACGTTGGCGAATCCGTAGGAGGTGGAGGTGATGGCGCTAGGGGGATGGGAGATCTGGGGAGTGGCGAAATTTCTACCGTTGACGATGGCACCATTATTTCTTCCTCGTCTTCACTTGATTCCGATTCACTGTCTTCTTCGTCTCCAGTAACCTATATATACAAATTAGGGAACGAGAGCGAAAATATTCTTTAGTTTTTATTTGCATAAATTACTACATGTGGGTACTATGCACATATATTACTCTTACGTATCTTACTTTAGGGGTAAAATGTTTCATAACATTTCCGTTTCCATTTTTAAGTACACGGTCCAAAAATTTGACACTTATGTCGCATTGAGACTGAAAGTATGCTAAATCAGCATCATCCAAAGCTCTGGCAACGTTATCAGTGAGGTCCAGAAAGTCTTGAACAATAACAGGCGAAAATATTTCCAACTTTTTCTCTCTTAAAGTCCCATCTGCATTCAGTCTATAATACTTTAAGATTTCAGAAGGCAACTGATTTTCAACTTGAGGACGGAAAGCTCTACTCTCAAGCACCATTCCAGTTGAACAACAAACTACGTTGTCTGTAAACTTAAAGTTGGCAAAGAACTGGAAAAATTCTTTGAGAATGGAAACGATGCTTAATGCACGAATACTTTTGTCATTCGTCACTCTTGCTCCTGGAACCTGCTTTCTATTTGAGCAAAAACCAATATTCATATTATCCACAATGCGAGGCGTGTTCTTCTTGTCCAACTCCCGTAATTCAGCAACGCTTGGAAAGAACTTGATCCTCGTTAAATGAAATACCATCAGCATGATCAAAATATATCCCTCAAATTCTTCTCCTTCCCTCAACTCGTGAAAGACTTGATGTGCTTTTCCCCAAAGGCGTATCATTGAGAACAATGGTCCCACGCGAACATCATGGTTTGTTAGGAACTTGAGCAAACGAGATTTTTGAACCGATAGAAAGTTTTCAAACTGTAGCTTGCAAGGCAAATGTTTCTGGTTAATAGTTTGCTTAAAACTGATTTCAGGAATATCCAGAACATTTGATGTGGAGTATTGAGAAACAAATGCAAATTTTAGAGATCCGTCTCCATCTTTACAAGTGGAAAGAATTTGAAAAGTTAATCCACACGCCATTGGATCAGAAGCATTTCTTATGATTTTCGCAGCAGATTTTGAGCTGAATTTGCCTGTTTAAAAAATAATAATCTACTATTAAATTGCATTGACATCTTTATTTTTGTTAGCTTTTTTATTAAAATATTATGACGTGTTGAACGCACCATAAGGGTCCACACATAGCCTGCGAAGAAAAAACGATGTTTAATATTAGTCTAAAAATTTAAACGTTTTTGAGAAATAAATTTAAATAATAACTTTACCTAAGTTCGTCTGAATCAAGACAAACTCCAAAAAAATCTGGCCCATAAGAGTAAACAACGCCATTGTTGAATGTAACAGCCACAACTTTATGAAGATCTTTAACAATCTTGGCTCGTAGTTCGGGATTGTGAAATTTACTTAGCGCTGTTAACTGTTCTTCAAGTGGGAGTAGAACCGGTGCAGTTTTCTTTTGATTTCTTTTCTTCTTCTTTCCTCCTTCTTTGCCATTTTCCTGGCTGTTCGCAATCTCACCATCTTCCAGGACTTCAATCTTTTGTTGGTCTGCACCCTCCCCATCTACAACCAGTACTTCTTCATTCGCCGTGTGCTCATTGTCAGTTTGGCACTCATATTTTTTTCTAATTTGGATTGGTTGTCTAAATATTTTGTGCTCCTCAACCTCTAAAATTTTCTTAACGGATTCTCTAAAATTATAAGTAGACACATTAATCAATGCGGTACTCAAATATGACATATTCCTTCATATTTCTACTCACGCTTCCTTAAAGAGGCAGGAAACAATGTTAGGCTTTGTGCCAGAGAGACTCGTGGGGCAGATAAATTCCTCAATGGGGCCCCCTTGTTTTGACAAATATTCTGCAATGTCGATGGGGTTGGCTTTGAGTTCGTGACATCCGACGACTTCAACTGCACGATATTTGACAGAGGTGGTTTCGCCCCACGTTCCACTGCCACCCTGGGGTTGACGAGTGAGGGCACGTTGGTGACCAAGGGAAGCTAAGTGGTGCACCCAAGAAGGATCGAAACGGTCATCCCGCTTGCATAGGTTACACACGAACAAAGGTGGAGGTGTAGAGGACATTGCTTATCAAGGCGGCTCAACTGTAAAACAAATATTTAACTGTTGATAAGATTAAAAATACTTACATAAATTGTTAACCAAAAAATTTACCAACCTAGTATGTAGCCAAACCTGACTCGTTTTTATTCGGTAGTTCGTCGTGTTCTTCGTATAAAATTCCTTCCATACCTTAATTGCCTTTCTACTCTACTCAAAGTCAATTATTGTTAGCTCATTAAAATAACTGCTTAAATTGGGTTTAAATTATTGTTTCGTACCGAATTATACCAATAACACCACAAAGTTTGTTTTGTATGGAATCAGTGCAATCAGCTCGAATATGAACAAACAGTGCTCCCTCAAACAAGTTGGGCAAACCTGAGAATTTCTCATGCGATTATGTAGTCTCACTTTTCTCGCATATTTAAAAAGCGAGAAAAGTGAGACTTTTATGCATTTCCTTTACCGAATTATTTTTCATTTCTACGTAGTTTTCAGCGATTTTATTGTTTCAAGCAAATGATTACGGTGATGATAATAATGAAGACAGACAACTCAAGTTTCCTTCCAGTTTCAATATTTTATTCCACTTATCTATTGACATATATAGATATCATATAATTTGTATTCCATTCATATTCTTAGCAGGAGGAGTGTACATAATAATATCATCTCATGTTTCTATTTTTATTCTACTAGCTCTAGTAATTTTACAATTTAGTGAATATTTTGTTTGCTCTTGGGTATATCATACTGTTCTAAATCAAGGTTTGTTTCTTGGGATTTGTCGTGGATTTATTATTCAACTACAACTGTACTGCACCGAGACCATACTCTTTATATATGTATACATAGCCAGATAATAATATGTAATACTAGCATCGAAATAGTCACATTAAAGTAAATGCAAGTTGTTAATTTATGGTGATGGGATACTTGTAATTACTTAAGGTTTTTGTGCCATACACACGGTAGATAAATGCATTTTCTGCACATTTGTCCTCGTCAATGTATTTTTTAAGAAACTAAAGATAAGCTTTTTTTCTTCTTCTTTTTCTCTATGAAGGTTGCTTTCATAATAAAACATAAATGCAGAAATAAATTCGCACTAATTTTTCACCCGATAAATCAGGAATTACGTTTAGTTTGCAAATATTGGACTGGAAATTAATTTGCAACTCTGGAATTCTGACCGACTGACAGTATTAGATAATAATATAGTAATAACATTAAATTCTCAAAACGGTTATTTTGATAATAATAATCAATAAGTGGTCAAAAGGAAGATCACATCCAACAATGTCGCAACCATATTATCGCAGCCATCATATAACAAAAGAGACAAAATATTTGGCAATTGATATAACATTTAATAATATGAAAAGTTTTTGTAAATGTATAATATTCTCCTCTCTATCTTATACAAGTACAAATTAAGTATCTACTTGGAAAATATTTATGGCAAGATTTGACATACTTGAAAATCAGGCAGGATTACAGAATTTGAATGCGAGAATACTCTGATTGTCATAAAATTACCCTTTTTATCTATTTTGTTGGCAAATTTGTTCTTGATTCAGTATCAAATCATTAAACCTGCCTGATCTGATTTGATTTTTTAGGTTCGTTCTACGTACTCATAGGTTATACACACACAATATGTGACTATATACGTGCAACACAAATAATAAAGGTTTTTAAGATCGGTTATATTTTTTCGGTTACTTTTAATACTAAACTAAATATGTACGACTACACGATAGTGGATGGAACTGTTCTTCAATATAAGTATATGTATGTATATGGGTAAGTATGAATATTATGTAATTAATACCTTCACAAAAATAGGGACATTTTCTTCCTGATATAATAACAACCCTTATGCATTCCTTCAAAACAGAACTTTCCTGGTAATTAGCATTCTGCTGCATGTGATTCTAAGCGTATATATTTTTTAAATTTTATCTCCAAACAATATAGTAATAATAAAGCTACTTAAATCAAAAGGAATATAGAGCACAAAATTGAAGTGGATAGTTTCGCTAAAACCATTCCAATACTCCTCAGCCCAATATAGATAATTGTTGAGAAAATATTACAAGCATCATGAAAAGTGAAGCATTTTAATCAAACGAAACACCTTCATAAATACATCTGTCTGTGTAATATCATGTCCGTCGTTCATTTTTCAGTGACTCGATATTTACACAAAAACTGCTATACTATCATAGCAGCAGTACTCGAAATGCAAATCTGGCTTGTTTAATAATTGGTATTATTGCAACTTTATTGAGATCGTTGAAGTTGAGATGTCTTTAATGAGATTTTTTTGCTGTTGAGTAGATTTTTGTTGATTGAATATTAAATTTGACTATGTTGTAATTGACTTATAAACTGGGCGTATTGTTGGGCTTGTTGATGTTCATTCACAATAATATATCGTATTTCGTTCAATTTGTAACTTTAACAAAAAGTTTACAGATTAAAACTTACGGACACAGGTTGAACAGGTATACTCGTATTTCTTTAGCTGTACTTTCTCCATCGTGCTTCTTAACTAACGCCACACATACTTGTAAATAATAATCAGCTAATTGTTGGAGGTGGTTTATGGGAAAATATGTACTATGATTCCTATTAATACTAATATATTCTCTTCATTCAAATTTTCTTCATTTACACTGACGTACTTATTTCACTAAGCAATCTGTGACATAATTACGCTACTTTTAGTCAGGTAGACAGGTTGACAATTAAAGCTTCTTTCGTTTATACATACGCAGCAGGGGTTTCTGTAACACGTCAATTAACTGTCAAGTAAAAGTATCGCTATAAATCTACGCAAGATGAACTTGTGTCCATTCGCTGTTAAAAAACTACGAAAAATGGTATTATGATATTATGGAATAAATGTTCTACACATGCTGAAGCCATCATAATGGCCATACATATATTAGCATTAGGTATATCGTAATTTATGGCATTGCTAGATATCCTTATCATCTTTTATTATTTTCCTACGTTTGTTTGGCATTCGTCTCCTTAAAGGTTATCCTATCCTTATCGGGAACCAAGAGTATCCAGTATCATGTAGTAGTGGCTTGGAGTTGCAGTGGATGAGCAGTTGGAGGAGGAGATGATTTTTGAAAGCAAGAGGGTGTGGTTGTTGGAGTCGTTGGGCTGGTGATGGCGGAGATAGTCGTCGTCGTCGTCGTCGTGGAGATTGGCGACAGAGCCGTCGTCTCAAATTTCACGTTCGCAATGGATTCCACCTTGACAATTTTTGGCATGAATGGGGCCACCGGGGCCGGTGTGGTAGGAGGGGATGATGCAGCTTGAAGTGATTTCGCCAAGTTTGCACATGCCTTTCCAAATATATGTTTTTGAAGTGCATCCGCAATTTTCTCCTTATTTTCCAAAAGGGTGGCAGCAGACGCAGGGGAAAGCACAGGAGCTGGGGAGTTGGAAGGAGGTGTTGGTGTTCGATGAGATTTCCTGTTGAAATATTACATAATTATATACAAATCATATAATTTGAAGTACTTAAATTTGCATTCATTATTTATTATCACTTACATATGTGCGCTTCGACTCTTCACTTTACTGAATATTCTGAAAAATAAAAATAACACGTTAGGAATATAACAATTATGTGTGCAATTCCAATTTAAAAATCTCAAGTACATGTAGTGACGTATGCGTTATGGTACATATAGTATACGTTACGACAACCGTGCTCACATGGACAAAGTAAATATGGATGCATGCACATTTATTTTTTGAAAAACACACTCACAAAACTGTGGATCGATGTCATAAACTGTGATCAAAAATGTTATAATCACAAAATTTACCCATTCCCAAAATCACATGCAAAACTGAAGCAGCAATAACAATAATAATAATATTTAGAAAAGCAATTGAACGTATGTATGTAGTGTGAAAGGAGTGACGAAGAAGGAGAAAAATATTTGCACAAAAATGATGACATAATAATTTATGGACAAAATTGATACAGAAAAGGAAATAAAATGTTTACAAGGGACACGCTAAAGTTAATGAAACGATTACCTTAACATTTTAATGAAAGATTGATTTAATGCGATTCGATAGAGAGAGAGAGAGACGCGGAACAAATCAAAAGTCCGGTAAATCATTGCTAAAGTAAAATTAATAAAAGAGTCATAAAATGCATAAGCTCTAATATATACGAATCATGAACATTGTTGTCATCATTTTACTTTATTATCAGTCTAACAAAGTCAAAATACAAGAATGAATGAACAGAAACTCAACTCAAGACGCCACTATTTCAAAAGTGATCGGTTAGTTATAGCTTCATTTTGCACAGACGACAATCAAGATTTAAAAATTAAATAGTAGTGGCCGAGTATTTTACAGAAATCGAAAGATACAAAATAACGATTAATTGAGTAATCAATAAAAAGAGGAAAAAACTTGCAATAGAGATCATATCCAAGAAATTCAGTATTGACTACGCTATATACTTACTTTCCACAGATTTTACATGGATATTCATCGTTGAGACTGAGACCACGGCTGCTGGCTGGACTTGTTTGATGGGATTTATTCTGTTTTGCCTACAGTAAAATAAACCAACGTGAGCATTATTGAAATTAAAAATAATGTTACTGCAAAGCAACTGAGAAAATTCTCGAACAATTTTACTTTTTAAACATATTGTTTGTTTACCGACACGGAAGATTTTTGCGAAGTTGTCGGAAGTTGAACTTGAGTGCAGGTTGGGACAGGGGGGATTGTTTTTAGAAGCTCCACAGTGAACGCAGCCTCCCTCTTTTTCCACATGGATCTTATCCTCTCATACTCGTTGGGACACACTTTCTTCCATAATTGGTAAAATGACACACATGCCTCCCCAGATTTGGTGACAAGTTCCTTCGAAACTTCCAAAAAGTCCTTCCCATGACGAACAAGAGACTCCTGAAACTGGAGGATTTCTTGTCGAGTCCACTTTTCACGCTCTGGATATTTGTATTGGAAAAGATGCACTGGCAGTTTGGGTTCAGGATTCATCAACAGGAGCATGGCCACCTAAAATCATAAATATACACATACCTATGTACATCCAGTAAATTGCATGTATGTAAAATGATTTCATGGAAAGAATAATAATAAATATAAAGAATAATATTGTAAGTAAATTGCATTGATGATGAACCAATTGAATGACTACGTTTATGAAACTTTCATGAAAATACTCACATTAATGTCACCATTGCACAAATTCAGGATGTGAAGAGCATACTCAATATTTCGACCACCTCCAGGTATGGCAGAACAGCATGCAAATTCAAGGTACTTCTCAACTGCAAAAAAATTAAGAAGAAAATTATATAGTTTTTCGTAATGCAAAATATTGTAAAGGTTAGTTACCGTCTTCTTTAAAGCAGTTAGAAATCGAATCCGGAGACCAGAGTAAATCTTCGGGTCGCTTTAACATGTAGTTGTTTTTGATTGTGTGTTTTTGCTCCAAAGGAGGAATTACTGCTTGGAAGTTTATACCAAGATTTATCCTGGGTCGGTCTTTCCGGTTGTCATCCACATGAGTAAGTTTTGCAGAAAATGTCCAGAAAAGCCCTGGAAGATACAGAAATTGATAACTCAGGATGAAAGTGGAGCAAGTACATAAGTTTATGCATTAAATCATATGCAGGGTTCATAAAAGAAATAATTAATGATGTTTGTAAATTTCTTGAAAAACCAATTAACGAGCTCATGAATTAAATTACAAAATTACTCAAAACAGTTTATAGGCAAAAATAAAATAAGTATAAGACATCTCATTATGTAAAATTGATAATGCACTCACCTGGAGCGGACCGAACTGGGCTCAGAATTGGATATGGTGTAAAATGAGGTGGAGATTGGGACGTCTGTGGCCGTAAATTAGATGCTAGTGTTGCGTAACCTTTCCTCTTTGGCACTTTTGAGATAAGCGAGTTCGGGTTGACATTCAATGTGAAAATTCTGAAAGAAATCAGAGAAACCATTACCTTTATTACAACTCTTCTACTGCAAATAAGTACATCGGGGCTGATCGGGGGCAATGCAAACCAATAAACTTGAACGCATTACATACCACATATGTTCAGCAATATTACCCTTGTTTCTGCATATAAGAGTAGGGAAAGGGTTATACTTATGCGTACCTGTGCGGACTTCGAAATGACTCCTCCAGAGAATCTCCCATTATTAGACATGGCTCATTTCCTGTCGAAACACCTCCCAGAGTGTAAGAAGACGTCGTTATCATGGTAGATGGAGAACTGGAAATCGCTGAAATCGAGGGTGAGGGTAGTGAAACGGGCAACCTTGAAGAGTTTGTGTCGTAGAGTAGTGAGTGATTTGAAATGTTTGATTGTTCACAATTTCCATCAGTTTCACGACCCAATGTAAATGAAAATGATGGTTGAGAACCTACACAACATGAAATACATAAAATCAATTCCTATGACCTTGTTCATTAACTCAACACAAAGTATGAATGTTGAGGTCGGCATAACTCAAAAGTATTCATAAGTGCGTCATTGTTGATTCTTTTGCAATTTATTTACTCCCACTTACCGGATATCGAACACTGTTCCATCGCCTGCATCTGAGAAGTTGTGAGCAATAACCCACTTGTTTGAGTCAAATTGTGTGATGACGCCCCCAAAGCGGAAATTGAAGTTGTCAACAGATTACTCGGGGTTCCATTATTATTATTGTTGGCACAATTAATAGACACAGTTTTCATCCCGTTACTGGAAGTAGCTACAGGAGAGACCATGACCAACTGTTGATTAGAGTTTGCCATCAAATTTGCGTGGGTGACATTTTGCGATGTGGTTTCGAACGGAAATGGGAATGGAAATAATGGAGACTGCAAAGCGTTATGTGACTCCAGACTAGCAGGTGGGGTGGGATAAATAAATGACGGAGAATCGGCAAGACATGAATCAAGATCCCCACTCTGAGAATGTACCGATCCTGGAGCCGGGGTAAAAAATATTGGATCCATGGTTGGCCTTGGAGTAAAAAAGAAAACAAAGACTTATAAACTGAACATTATGACATCATAAAAACTTTATCAGATATTTAGTAGGCTTACAATGGAGTAAAGGGATTGTCATTGCTGGAAGCCGTTGGTGTGGCTGGTTCGGTGGTGAACAATGAGTAGTTGAAAAAATCTGCGGATATCTGAGATGAGTCGGATCCAGTGCCAATCCCTGACTCGCACAACATGGATTCGTCTATTGAAGAGAAAAATGAGTCCGGACAGATACTAGACACCTGTAATTCATGATAATTCATGATAAGTAACCATTATAAAATGCAGCATAATAATAATAAATTAATTATATGTACCTTATTGAAGACTTCCTCTTCCAAAAGATATTCTGCATGCGAGTCTTCAAATGGAAGGGGTTGACAATGCTGATTACTGCTGGTAAATGTGAGTGTAGGGTTACTGCTGTTATTTTTTGGTAAATTGTGGACGTCCGCTTGGTGAAATTGACTTGTGTTTGCAGACGAGGAGAGGGGAGGAGGAGGAGAAGACTGAAGTGGAACTAACGGCTTTTTGGTTGGTGTGGTTGGGGACGATGTAGGAGGAGACGTTTTCGGAGTGCTAGAAGCAGATGAGCTCAAGGAACCAGCATTTCGTTGACGTTGGATTATCTTCTCCTCGATCAAAGCACGCACACTGACGCTCGCAGTTTGCAGGGGAGCTCCTTGCGTCTCCTTCGTTGCCGGTTCCTTTTTTCTCCCGTCCGTCTCCTGAAAGTCGATAATTAAAGTTTGCATTAAAATTTGCATTATTAAAATCAATTCCGCCGATTATAGACCAAAGTGATGCAAATTAGGTCTGACCTTCTTAAAGTATCCTCCATGTAGCCTCATATGCCCGTTCAATGCAGCTGTAATTCGCAATTCATTTTTATTAATTAAATAGCTTAAATTTTGAAAAAGAGGAGTGAACAGGTCGAGGCTTGGTTGAGAATAATTTTTTTGCACCGAGCAGTCAACAAACAAAAACTATAAAAAACTTTCTTCTGGCCAAATTAATTTTTAAAAATGAAAAATATTAGTAATGCACCCTCCTCAGGTAAATTACGTTTTACTGTCCGTTGACCTTTACCACCTTTTCAACAAGAAATTCTGTGGAACAGAAGAAGGTAAAATTACCGACAGAATATGACGGATCTGAACTCTTTGATGAAATAATGGCACACGAAGCGTTGATTGAAGAGAATTTTATGATCAAAATCAAAAAAAATCTGATGGGTAAAAGTAGTCATGTCCCAGCAGAGGCTTGATGGATCCTCGACCAGTTCAGCTTCGAGTGGTAAGTGGATGATGATTTTTAATTAAATTAGTGATGCACAATGTGTAAATATGTAAATACACGAATCATGTTTCGTTTGTCTTATTCGGTCCTTGCGATCTAACTAATCAATGATAAGCCTCATAGTTTATATAAGTTTGCATATGGGCGGACTGCTAGACATCATAGAAATTCGTGGAGCATCGACAACTATAAGACAGACCTCAATTTAAAAAATGAACTTCATCATGTAACGACATTGGGCTATTTTCACAGAGGACTTGGACAAAATGCAGATGAGAAGAGTCGTGCAATGATGAAGTGAGACTTGATAAGTTAGAACGTATTGTATAAAGGATAAAACTATTAACTTAGAAAATCATCGAATCAGTAAGAATTTGTGTGATTTTACTAGCATTGCACTCAACGACATGTTTACTCGTTCTTTTTAAAACTAAATATTTAAAGAATTACTTATTTGTACTCATTACTTACGGGTATTCTTAAAGCGTCTGCAACAAATGGCGCATTCTACAGGCTTATCTTCTGCTTTTCCTGTAGGATTCTGAGTCGAAGAGTTCTCATCCCCACCTCCAAGGATGACGTTTATATCCCCTGCACCACCACCACCGTTGTGATTACTACCACTGCCCACACCACCCACTTGTGAAGTTGCCTTGTTCTTATTGGCGTCCACTGCTGTCGGAGATGAACTTTTAGAATTGCTAGTCACGCCGCCGTTAAGAATGGTTGTTGTTGTTGTACTTGGAGGTAAACTTTGCTTCGTCGTCGGAACAGCATTGCTGAATCCTTGATGTTGATGAATACCGGAGCTGTATATGACCGCACTCTCTTCCGTCGTTTGCTGAATAATCTGGTGGATAAGTTCCAACTGTTCTTTGAGACTGTGGGGAGAACTTAGTTGAGGGCTAGAGGGACACTTGAGAACTATTCCGCCCAAAGAGGAAGAACATTTCCCCATCTGCAAGTAAAATGCAAATGAAAATCAGTTTAGGTTTGAAATGTCTGAGCGGCTGCTGCTGCTACTGGTGTTGGGAAGGCGATAGGGCTTATAAAAACTTATTTGCTAGGACGATGCTACTTAGTTAGTCTATTTCTTGGGAGTAATAAGGAATAAAAATATTAAATTACGCCACATCACATTCAAGTCATGAAAAAGTCAATTCCACGTTTTAAACTCGGACATTTATTTGGCTCCAGTTCAGTTTTCGTTTTCATTTGTGCAATTCATAAATCACGGAGGTGGAATGTTCAGCAATGCAAACCATGCAAACCACGATATTTTCCGTCTTTATCTCATATACGTACATATATGTGTGTATACGTACACATGTACATATGCACGTACAGCTTTATCGCTAATTTATTATCTCGCGGCTATATCCTAAAAGATTTAATATCTTGGAATTGACTGCCTATCACCCCTTATAAATTACAAGTCCTGAGTCCGGCATATCGAGGCAATGATAATTAAAGCAATAATCACAATAATAATATGAACACAAGATAAAGATCGTTTCATCAGTATTTTCTGAATCTGAAAATTGTGTTGCCAATGTTTATATTGTCAAATCTTAAAAATGTCCCCGTACCAAAGCCGAGTCAAAACATATCATTCATTCACAAGTCGTATAGTTGCCAAGAATTTAAATGGGCCGTGAGAATCAACCAAATCCAGTACATATTCAACATACATAATAACGCACACATACAACTTTGCACTTCACGTTCCCGTATGTAAACCAAAAATTGCTCACACTATTCACACAGCATCCAAGAAAAATTTTAATGGGAACGGCTACATGTTCTCCACACTCATTAATTTACATTTTATCATGTTGGTAGTCCTGAATATATTAAGTTTTAGCTGGTCCTCATTTAGCATTCAGTTTTAAATAAATAGTTCACAAATAATTGTGTCATCATCATCAACAGCGCAACACGTACGCCACATGGTAAGACAATTAGGAGCGATTTTCAGCCCTAAATAAATTTTACATAAATCGGTAATGTTTTCTTTTACCCTTCGCCATGCATAGATCATGTAGCAGGACGGGATTATAGGTATCCCACGAGCACGGAAGGAGCAATAAGCAAGTTGTTGATGTTTTCATTTGTTTGCTTTGCTACACTTTCGCCAATAATAAACCAAACGGTCATAATGCTATCATGGGATGGTATGGGATGCTATCATGGGAGGGTATGCATCAGAAAGGAGGAGGCAACCCCATAATAAAACGGAATAAAAAATAAATCCATCCACAACATGAGTGACTGTCACACCTACGCACCGAGATTGTAAGAGATAAGCACTTTAACTAATGTCTTAATACCCTCCCATTAAATTCGATCAATGATCAGGCTTACATACTTGGATGCATGGAAGAACCGTCTGTAAAAATCTGCCTTGTTTTTAACATTTAAATCTGCCTTGAAAAAAGTGTAACTGAATCTGTATCTGAAAAGTCAACTGGATTTAAACCTTATCTTTAAACTCCTGGCAGAGAACCAAGTGCCAACCAACTCCCATTTTATTTTCACGCTTTGTAAATTAACGTGCCGTTAAGTTATAGTAGAGACAGAAAATTAGGCTGCTGAACGGATATCAACCCTAAATCCTACCCGGCGAGAGAAAAATATATGTCGACAGACGCCGGTATAAACTTAAACATAACAATGTTTTCAGTTTTCGTAGGGAACCGTGCATAATAATGTGTAGGAAAAGAAACAATTGTTATGGTGTATTGCATGTACGTGTATTGCATAAATACAGATATCGTGTACCTAGTAAATATAATCTGGAAATATAAGACAAGGGTTGCAGCAGGTAATGTGTAACGGGGAGATACTTGGCAAAAAAAGATATTGACGTTGACACACAATCCGTGTCTCCTCAAGATGTTTGAATTTTCGCCTATTTTCTCATCTTTGTTGTGAACTCAGAATATATAAATATTTTGTGTATAATGGCCTTGTAATAACTACAGTTAAGGTTGATTGCATGTACGTGTAGAAAATTGAGATTTTCACGGCATTTACGAATGTTCTTTGAGGAGCAAACTTTTCAGAACATGGGATAAGACATTCCTTCCAGTATTATATTACCACCATTTAATATGCTCGTGTGTGAGACAGTAGAAAGAAAGTAATCCTACTCTCACTTCAGTGCTATCAGTACATCAAGTATGTAGTAAGTATGTACATACGTAGTTACGTAGTAAGTAGTAAATGCGATACGATACAAACTCGAATGAATTGTACGGGTTGGTCTACTCTGCACTTTTTGTAGGATGTCGGTATTTGAGCCGAACCATTAGAATTCTGAATGAGATAAATCTGCCAACAAGATCACATTCATAACGGGAGAAAGAAGTAGTGCATATTATGAACCATTTCAAATGTCATTAAGAAACGAGCATTATCCGTCCATCCATCAGACAGGGGGTAGCAATAGCACGATGATGATGATGATGAGGACATGGTAAGAGGGAGGGAGGCTTACAAACTTTTGCCAACTCTGGGCCAACATAAGAACAGCGAAACTTTGGACCACAGCAGCAGTCGGATAATGCTCGAGAGACTCATGAAGATTAAAAACCTACTGAACTAACTTCAAAAGCCAACCCACTCAATTTCAGTTGGCGTCATAATCGTAAAACTCGTAAAGTGAAATGAAAATTGAAATTATAACAAGGCTTAAATTGAACTTGGGTAGTACATGGCAAAAACTACGTACATAGCTACATGTACATACATATGTACAGAATATATTTACGTGTTTAGAGAGTCCCTCTCTTCTGTATTTTATATTATTATTATGAGTGGAGAGTTAGATAAAGAATTCAAGTCGTTACTTTGTAATGAGAAAAATTATAAGAGGCAAACATCTAATTATCCAGTTTTAACCAGTCAATAAGTAGATCACTACTTTTTTTTATGAATGGATAGACTAGAGACGAATTAAGGAAAGCTGCTGCAACACACTTATTAAAAAGAGAGACGGAGACGTTATTTTTTAAACAAAAACACACGAATATGTACAAGAGCCAAGCTGTGGAGATGACAACCATGAGACCATGAGACAGAGATTTAAAAAAAGATAGCATCATTTTGCATATGGTTCGAGGTTGGTAGTAAGTGGAGCTGTTTTTCTAATAGTACGTTAAAACATAATCAATGGGGAGGCTCAATTAACACTCTCGTAAATTGGCAGGTGAGCCAACAAATTGTGAATTGTTTGGTTGTGAAGTCACAAAAGTATGAGAAAATTATGAAAGAGCTGTGAGATGACGATGAGTCATCATCATATAAATATACGAATTACGGTATGTACATGATTTACGCTCATGTCGCTGTTGTTGTGCAAATTATTACAAGTTAATGGAGAAATTCCTTTGGTACCATGCATAACCCCAAATTGCGCTGGCACTAAACTGTATGTATTTAAAATTACCAAAACATGGTTGATTTTTGAGACAAATGAAGGATTTTGATTTCTTGGTTGAATCTGCTGGTCCAAATGTATTTCGTGTTTCACCAAATGAGTGCTGTATTACATGATAAATATGTAGCTACACATAATATGCACGTACATACACATATACATATAGGTAGACATACACATATATATGTAGGAGGAGGTGTGTTTAGTAGATGTACCGTTTGCGGTTTTCTCTTCTAGAGAGATTTATAGTGGCAGGTTGTGGGACTGACATTTATGGTCTGCTAATTGATTCTCGGGTCTATTTATTTCCTAATTTCAAGCATCGCCTCCACCAACAACAACCTGGCTATGCACGTTTGGACTATGAATATATGTAAAAGTCCTCTTGGGGGGGAGATAGCATGTGTATTTACGTAGCTACATATCTCCTTTGCTATATCAATTTCCATCTCTACTCGTATCAACTATTCAATGTGTGTGCTGATCATAAAATTCTTCAACGTAAAACTCACCTCAGAATTGTCACTGCTTGAGTTTCCCAAACTACTGCACCAGGACGAGGTTGTCGACGAAGGTGACGAAGAACTTAAGTGCAAATGAAACTGCTTCGTGGGAAAGAGACCGTTGCCATTATTATTGGCACATGAAGCGATCAGCGACTCTTTGATAAGGGTGACAGCGGCCGCGTCCACGTCATTTTCGCTAACATCCCCTCGACAAACAAGGGCTGCCACTGCTCTCTGAGTCAGTAACTGATGAAGCTGACTCTGACTTGGGCTGCCCTCTTTTACAATATCACTGTTTTGTATGCAGCAGAAATCCTCAACATTCTTCCCCGAACTGTTATTATTCAACTTGTCATCCGAAGATGAAGAAGGTAGACAAAGTTCCTCGTCCAAGCCCATTTCGTCCTCCAATTCCTCATGTATCACACCCATTTCTATTAGACTGGACTCCAAGAGGGCCGCCGCCGCATTTTCTGCAGACGTGGAGTCTTCCATGCTCAGCAAGTTCTCCACAGAGGTCAAAAGCTCGTGGTCATCGACTCCAGTATTATTACCACCATCTTCCTCCTCGTCGTGAGGGGAAGACGACCCTTGACATAGGAGGGGGTTGGGGTTAGCACTGCCATTGTTATTATTCTGGCTGGATATGGAATTTAAGGATTTTGCCACTTTTGGGGCTTTGGCTTTTTGAGTTTGACTTTTATTACACTTTTTACTCTTTGGGTGGTGCGACTTTGATTTGTTGGGATCACAGCCGTTGTTGGGCTTCGATGATGATGATGAAGAAGTGGAGGAGGGAATGATGATACTGAACTCGCTTTCGGTATGAGGAGTTGGAGCAATGGTCATGGTGGCGAGCGTGTCGGACCCGTGGCGACTTTCGACATGGCGACGAAGCGACCTTGCATCACAATACGATTTCCCACAATCATTTGCAGAGCATTCGAATGGCTTTTTGGAACGATGGGTCAGCATGTGCCCATTGAGATGGTCTTGACGCTTAAACGCCTTGGCACACACGGAGCACGTGTGTCGCCTCTCGTCACTGTGGGTAAGCTTGTGCTTTGTGAGAGCTGAATTGGGATAAAAATGATTGGCGTTAGTGTGGTGTACAACAGCAGGACCCTATAAAATTAGCTTACCTGAAGCATTAGAGAAGGTTTTGCTACAAATCTGAAATTTTCAAAAAGTAGATTTAACACTTTTTGACACAATTTCAGTCAAACGTGAACAATTTTTCATTCTCGTATTTTATCCATTCTTCAATCCATATTTTTCCAATGTGATCGATCAACGCATGCAAGTTAAGATCATTTTCCATGGTGTATGATATATGTATGTATGTATGTAGCTGCAGACTTGACGATTGAAGCAGAAGCCTGCAGGAAGCAACCAAAGAGGGAACAAAAGAGTTGGTACTCGTCGTCATCATTGTTTTAAAGTTTGGACTGCAAACAAGTTGAGCGTAATGAAATAAATATCGGTCAGACACAGAATTGAGTTTAATTCAACCACGTAATGAAATAATTGGAGTGGTTTCATTTGGCTTGAGGCGAACAAAGACTGCTATTCTTCTGTTTCAAATACTATATACACCGGAGTTGCATGAACATTGTTGTATTGATATTGATCTGCTCAATAAAGCTCCAGCCAAAGTTTCTTCTTGGGTGAAAGTTTGTGGACAAAGTTAAGTTTCTTAAACTTGAGCAAGTTTGCCCCCTGAGTTATCTCAACTCGAGATAATTCGGGCCAGGCCATCAACGCAACATTGGCCAAGTTTAAAACGAAATAATGATACACGACAGGCAGACTGTCACATAACTTGATAAGAAGCAAACCCATGCCGAATAAGTACACATATACGAATATAGCAACAACTAATAGAACCATTCCTGTCTCTTAAAGATAGGCTAGTCTCCATAATCTAATCCTTAAGCGTTGCAATTTCATATGCCTTTTCCAAAAGAATTAATACGTTACATTGTTATGTAATTAATAGGTTAAGCAATTAATACAAGACCAAAGTAAAATTTCCCGTAAGAGAAAAGGTATAACACATAGCAGATGACAGATACATAAATGCGGCAGCATACGTACATTAAATTAAATTAGATCCAACCTAAGCAAGCAAATAATATCTCACGCAACCTTTTTATGCAAATGAGAGAAAGTCAAGAGAGAAAGCAGATTCAATTTGAGTCTGATTTGAAGAAGATTCTACTCCACCTCAGTCACTCACTTGGACAGAAAAAGCAGATATAGAATGATGTGACACATCTTCAATTTTGAATCATTACTTGGAGAAAGTTTCCGAGAAAGTTGAAGAATTCTTGAATGGTTCTCTTATTCTCGCGCTGTCTCTACAAACTTTCAATAGAATAACGACGAAGAAGTTGAAGGTATCATGTCAAATTGCCAATTTAATTTCGATTTCAACTTCAACTTTCTCATCATTTAGTAAATTGAGTGTTAGGAGTCGTGCACACTCCATCCACACCACTCCACCTTTTCCGATCCAACTCAAATTCTCGGCATAAAACTTGCTCTCTGATAACTATGCATGTGTGCGGAATAGTGGATGAAATTCATTTAAATCAATTCACTCTTAAGTTTGTGAACAAAATTGCACTTAATCATAATTAATCGCCAATCGATAAAATAACTTATCAATCCATATCATTTTAGCTCAACGAGAGAGAGAGAGAGAAAGGAGGAGATTTAAAAATGTGGCTATATTAAAATGTAGCTTACCACACATCGTTGAGGTCCCGCTTGTCTATTGGGAGACGCATTTTTCTGTCGGTTGGTGAATTTTTTATGCTGTTGTACTTGTACTGATGAGTTTGGAGTCACATTTCCGCTTGGCTGTGGTATTTGGATGGTCATCGAAGTTGAAGATGATGAGCAAGATGACGATGGGAAGATATGATTCTGCTGAGGAATTCCACTCATTTCATCACTTGAGAATACGCCTAAAAGAGAAAATAGTTCCAAAATGAGATTCGTCTCATATTTCTGGGTAAGCGTGTATGCATAATGCTTATGTACCCTATTCTACATCTTCTATTTCTAGAACTACTGTGCTAGAAATACATGCGATGCAGTTCAATAAAGGGATACAATAAAACTCATTGTCTGGTAATAATTATAATTGTATTCGAGAATGAAAAGCCCATTAATTAATTTTCTTTCATTTCTCGCTTTTGCCTACAAATAGATGCCAGTTCCAATTCTCTCATTCACCAACAACGTCCCACAACCAGTCTTTATTCTTCACGATATTATACGTATTCATTTCATTCAGACCAAATTTTCAGTTATGTTCGAAACAAAGAAGGATAGGAAACGTGGGTGAGAATATGCATGGCTTGAAATGTCCTGCTCACAATATCCAAAAGCATCGCCCAACTAAATGTAATTCCTTTAACATTCGCTCCATTTAACGTACATTTTTTCACATCCGCTTGTATCAGTGCTGATTTATTTATACATGTTGATGTCATCACAATAAGTAGTGTATACAAAAAGTTGATAACAAAACTCTGTGATAACAAAACTCGTGCTATTTTAAAGTGTACTTATGTAAATATGTACTTGTATAATACGTGTGAGTGTATAAAGTGGATATCAGAGGTTATCAGCATCGGCGTGTTGTAACATAGTGAATAGTGACCCTTGACCTTACCCTAGTTTCGGACAGCTTAAAAAAGCTAACTTCCTGGTATACCAAATATGCATGCATACTAATCCATAATATAACATCGTACCACCACCACCACTACTGACTAATAGCTACTTTGTTTCACAGGTTTTGATCCTATAGTTTGGAGACGAGTAGATTTAGACCTAGTACGAGGACCAGAGGGAAAATGGTTTCATATTACATGAAATTTAAACGATGTTATAAACTAGAGGGATGAATAGCCATCGAGAGAAAGTGGCTGCTCTGCTTTCTCCAGCCCTTTTATGCGTCGAGGTACTTTGTATGAAGGTACAAGGACGTACGGTATATGGACGCCATCCAAATTTATCGACAAAGTTTTCCCCTTTCTGCAACTTTTGCATTTTTACTCACAGCCGTAGTTATTGGATATGACGGAGACTGGATGGGTAATAAACTGTGCACATTTTTGCAAACAATTGTAAAATTTTGTCGTTTGTAGAATCGGCAATATTTTCAAAATATCTAATTTTTAGTTGACACTAAATTATTTTATACTAGCGTAAAGCCTAAGATTCTAACGTCCCAGTGGGGGGAAGGGGTGTAAACAAATTGCCAAAATTCCGCGAAATTACACTTGCCTGAATTGCACTGAGGACGTTGTCCATACCAAGTAAATGCTATAAACAGATTGAACTTCGTGTGTCAAAGAAACTTTTACTAAATGATCCACATAGGAGCAAAACTGCTGAGCTCTGGGAAATGTTATTTCAAAAGTTTCCAAAATGGTGTGAAGAATTACTACTTATTATCCATTGAATTTTCAATATCCCCTTGTTTTTGCTCTCTGCAGAGCAATAAAATCCAAAAAATACTGAAAACTCTTTACATAATTTCTGCTCAATTTTTTAAATGAAGCATTAGGGACATTCGTTGTGTCGATGATTTTTTTTTACAATATTCGAGTAAATCCGTTTGTACACTTTCATGATACATAAGTTCATTGGTGTTGCATACAGTTGACCTAGTGCACTCGTCGCTCTCAGTTCAGAAAACAATACATTTGCATTTGTAACCAAAAAGAAACAGCTAAAATTAGCCAAAAGTCATCAAGAACAATAACAAACTTTGCTACAAACTTGCTTTATACTCTAGATGCATATGTACATACATATAGCTGCAATTTTACATGTACATTTCAGTTTTCTATACATACGTTAAGGATGTGTGTTCGATGGAAGGAAAGTTGTTAAAATCAGTGAAATCGTACACAACCATGATCCTACCTCGCTTTTTTTACTCTACCAAATCCTCTTGATAGACACATAGTTGATGGCTGCTCAAGACCAAACAATCCGTTCACGCCATGCCATTTCGTCTCCATTCCTACCATTCTTTTATTTTCGCTCTTTCTGAAAAAAATAAAGCAAATCTCTGTCTTCTCCTCTGTCGCCTCGATTTTTAACTGACTCGGTCCATGCAGTACACCGTCGTCGTCATGTAGAGAAAACTATAACTGCATGAAAGCATACATATCTGTAAACCTTAACGGAGCCTACGTTACGTAGACCACCACAACCCACCGCTTTATTATGTAACAAACAACTACACTGCGGAATCCACTCATGCATTTACACACACAAAACACGAAATGGCGAGACAACATCGCCGAGAGAGTACTTGGAGTAGTAGTAGAACAATGCATATTATATGAAAACAACGATTTGCATGATGGCGAAGTTCATTATATGAGAAGTTTTCTTTGGCACTTTTTCAAATCTCCTCTGTTTGACTTGGATCGTGTGTGGGATTGCCGTTTGAAAGAAAGTGGAATTTCTACTATGCATACGAAGTGAAATGATGGATCAATATTTAGAAATTTGAATAATTTTGTCTGCGATGCCTAATGATCAACGTCTATACGCAAATAAGAATGGAGCTGAAGTATGCAAGCTATAGGAGTAAATTTTGCATATGTATGTAAAACCTTACCGTCTATTTATACAAACTAAATTATGAGAAACAGCAAAATAGTGAAAATTAGGTGAAAGTATATTGATTGGGTAAACATGCAGAATTTAAAGTCCCACATATGGAAATATTGGTCAGAATTAAATGAATATTTACGCCACAATTAAAAATAAAATCCATTAGAACTTGCTCGTCTGGGTTTCCTTTAAAAAAATTAAACCACTCGACTTCACATTTTATTGTCTCGGTTATATAGTCTTTCCATCCTACTCATCATCAACCAAATATGTAAATAACTGCCGTTGTTACATGTGTACAGACACTTTTGTATTTTGAAATAGTCAAATCTTGGCTGAAGTCTCTACGTGGTTAAAAACAAAAATCTGGAGACCTTAAATTCCTAAATTCCTTGGCACTTATTTTCACGGGTTCATGTTAGTAATTTAATCGCCTTAAGTTGGCACATGAACAGAAAGTATATATGCACATATGTACAACATACACTGTTCCATACACTCAACATTTGGAACAAAGTATCCAATTTAATTTAATCTTACTAATCCGATTCTATGAATTAATCCTTGTTCTACACATCAAATCAAGAAGGAGGCATTGTTGTGCATACACACATGTATGTAGTGCAAATTGAGAAAGATTATAAGCCTAAACTTATTGCGAATGAACATGCAAGGTTTTTGCTCTAAAATAAAAGACGTACAAGTCAAATAAAGTCTGTGAATAATTGTTTTTTGTTAAATCCTGGAAAATGTGTAGAGCAGAAAGAGATTTAGAGTTTACATAGGTTTTGAGGTTGTTAGTAAATTATGTGGAGCTTGCAGCCAATCCGTTCTGATGTGATGATCACAAGAAGCAAATATCTTATCCAAATGCTTGCATATATACTTACTTGCATATGTGAAAACGGGATTGGGAGATAACCATGCACATCTGTACTTGCTGTATATTCTATGAATGAGCCTCCTCCGAAAAAGAAGTTAAATCACGGCTGTTAGTTTGTTCTAGTTCGTTTTTCTTTGTGGTTTGTACCAGGTGCCAAAAATCGGGATAACCTTGACATGAAAATCCTTATTCTCTCATTTTTTTGTTGGTCTATCAATCAACGAACTCTGACTCTTGCATACATGGTCGTCTGAAAGTGGAATGGGGTGGTTGGTATTGCTCATCCAGTGTATTTTAAATATTTCTTTGCCTAAATACACACACAATCACGTCATGTCTTTCTCAAAAGACGGAGGAGGATCAACCAACGTCAGCTATCAATAACCACATCACAGCATACATCATCACTATCCAAACCAAGCCACGCCAGTCATCAGCAGAGACGAAAGAAAATGTGCATGACGTAAAATGACGACTTTCATGTACAGAAAAACTTCTCCCAAATTGGATCTAAAAAACCTGAAACTTTCTGAAATTCCTTCTCATTTTTTCTTAATATTACCATTCAGATAATTTAAGTTCAGAGAATTAAGTACGTATCAAGATATTTATTTTATACAAATTTTAACTTTCCTGCATAATTAAAATCGTCCATTTTCAACGGGATGGGTTTCTTACATATTACATTTTGCTATGAACAATGAGGGACGTGCAGTTGAGCAAATTGAATGTGCCATTGAGGCGAAATACGTACATACATATGTACACGGAGCCTGAGAAGAAGGGAGTGTCACTCGTTCCCAGAATTATGTAAAAGAACAAAGGAAAAGGATGAAAGGATGACAGGCTGAGGAATAAGTAATTTAAAAATTTTGAATTAACATCTCGTTGATAGTCAACCTTTGTCCTCGTGTGTGAAATCGGTTGCTACAATTGCTGCAGTACTTATTATCAGCCATTCCGCCATGCACGTATGAGGGGACAATCCAGCCAAACCCAGAGCTCGATATGTGTGTCAAATTGGTTCAGTGTACTCGAAATAAATCAAAACTAATATATGAATCCATAAATTAAACGCAATTGAAACATTTACAACGTATCTTTGTGCATACATTACATTGTGTGCGTAATACCGACCAGGGGTGATGTGATCCATGTGTAATTAAACTTCAAAAATGAATTCCTTTCTTTCAAATTCGCCATTTTTATACCGAGTCCCGGAAAACCTTTCATTTTGCATTTGAAAGCCTCATCTCTTCCACTCTCTCTCTTCATTCGACATTGTTTCACAACACTCTTTTTCCCATACGTACGTATGTCACATCGCAAACTATGTCGGTACTATTTCTGTCTGGGGTTTTTGGAGGTGACGATGACGCAACTATGGCTGCGATCCATGCAGATGGGGGAGCAGCAGGAAGAATTTACATGAATTTGGATTGTCGGTGATGGAGAAATGGCTGGAAGCGAATTTCATTTCCTCTCGGCTTTCTGAGCTTTCTCTCATCTCGTAATCTCCGACCGCGTGCAGCTCGCTCTGAGTTTGACATCCCCACTGCCTCACTGAGGAGAGAATGAGATGGGACAAGGATGAAAAAAATTAGTAAGGAAAAAGGTTCACATCACAGGAAATATTGTTCCCGGACTTTATATAATCCGAGGAAATATTTTAAAAGTACTGCGAAATTGTGTGTATAAGCAACGCGGTTGCAACGCGGCCTCTGATTCTACGCCCTCGTTTCAAGTATTTTACGCGAGAATTTTTGAAGTAATTGTGATGATTATGAAGCACATTTCTAGATATTTGTTTAGCGTTTACGAAATATACATACATACGTATTTATATGATATATAGATATATTAGGTAAAGTTATATTTATATATATCTAACTTTCACCTACACGTCCGACATGAGGTTCAGAAATAAAGTTGAACAAACTCAAACCTTATTATTTCTGCACCTGATTTGACTTTCAAGGAAAAAATCACTTCTTTACCCGTCTGCCAAACCTTTTAATATTTTACACCCCGCAAGGCAAGTCACAGTAAAATGACTAATTCAGGAAATTACTAGTTTAGTCGGCAATACGTACGTGGCATTAAATTTTCGGAATAAGTGAAATTCGATTAATTTCAAAAGAACGGTGACAGAAAACGAAGGAACATAGCAAACTATTAAATCATGGAGATCTGCCAATCAACCTTATTTTCCCTTAAAAACAAGTATACAACATGAGATCAACAAATGCTCGTGAGTCACAACGGGCGACAAAGGTTGTTAGCAAAGCATTTATAAATGACTGGATTTCCTTTTTATCCACCCTAATAATCATATCATGCTCTCCTCATTCTAATCTCACTGACAACCCATTTTGATTAGAGATCTGAACATGAAATGTCTACATGCGTTCCAGCAATAGTGAAATGAATTGCTGGTTTTGTAGCGTTCTAATAAATTACGTACAAAATGTACTTAGGTATATCAGAATACTGTTCAAACTACGCATGTTTCCAATTCGTCTTTACTTTCATGCTTATTGTTCTACTTTATTTTAATTGTTTACTTCACACGCGTGTAAAGACAGATTTCTAATACTGCCCATAAACGTAATAATGTCTGCATTAGATATAAATACATATGTGCTACGAAGAATTCGAGTATTAAGTACTTGGGAAAATGTTAGGAAAGTGGCAGAAGACCAACAGCTGCAGGTCTCCCTCCTCTAATTTCTTCTGCTTAAGTAAAGTTGGAACTGGAAGAATTTTTGTGCAATTTAGGCAAAAAATGATTTATCTCATGAAAAGACCATACTTCGTTAGACATGCAGAACCAGCAAGTTCACTCTTTTGCAAGGCTCTCTGTGGACGGTGCATTCATATTTTTTCTCAACAATTCAATTCAGCACTTCTCATTTTGCAGACAAAACGGGAGCAAAAACCAGACGCATTTATGAACGTGTACGTCAGTTAGAAAAGGAAAATACAGAGAAAGTTGAATGTTTACAGTTTATATATGTATCTCACAGTTTTCCTCAAGAGGTGATCTGTTCACTTACATATTCGAGTAGAAAAACAAACCTGTTATGAAACACATTTGTTTACACATCAGTTTAAATAACCACTTAAATACATAAATTGGTAACAAATAATATATGCACCCCACAAGTGCAAACCGTATCTCGTTATCCGGATGGTAGTGTTGTAATGGAATGGAATGGAAAGACGAGAGAGAGAGATAGCAAGTTCAAACTAATGAAATAAATTATCGGTCACTGACTTGATCTACTTTCATTCATTAAACACAATATTCCTCACTCGCTTCTTTTTCCCCTTTAAATGACTATTTATGGGGAATAAATTCCTATTCCTATACTTTTCTAAACAAGCACATTGTCCAACACTTTGAATTGCATATAGTATAAAACTATTTAAACTACAACTTTCGGAATAATTTGTATTGTTAAAACCACCCTTTTAACAATATATGTAATATTTATATAAATAATCATTATGAAATATTAACATTGAGAATCGGAAAAAAAAATCTACATAAAAATCTTCTCTTCTCAGATGCAGATGTACAGCAAATTTTTATAACCAATTCACGAATATTATTAGAAAGTATCACCTACCATTTGTTATCAATAAATATCTAAAGGAAACGCTACAACAGCATTTTATAAAAACTTCTTCAAAAAGCTAAGTAAAAGTAACGAATCAGGCCTCGTATAGATTTCACTGCTTCGATAATTACATGGAAGCCATAATAAATGCGATCAAATAGTTAAATTGAAATCAAGCAACTGGACACTACTCGTGCAACTTGCACGCCTGCACCGCATGGCTTCTCATTATTAGCAACCCTTGAATGAAAGCGTGAATGAATGACTTTGATTCAAATTCAGGCTCGTCCAATTTCAAACGTCAAACTTGACAGTGTGGAACGTGTGAAGATAACTGGAACTAACACAAAAATCAACGCCACCCTTTATTAGGGGTGAAAATGAAAATAATAATTTACACAAATATGCACAATACGTACTTTCTAATGTTGCTGCGGTTCCCACTATTGTCTCGTACACATCATCGTTAATTATAGCAAACATGAGTCATCGGATGACGTATCATTAGAGCACGATGGAATGCTATTCTATTCCTTCAAAAATTTACCCTTTGAAGAAAGCGAGTCCACCATCACCAAAATAGGACATTTAAAATAGATACCAAACAATCAACCACGCGTAATATAATGTGCTGTCGCACTTCATCTTGCCTACTTTAGTATGCGTAGAAGCAAGAAGGAAATTAAAATTAACCCAGTTTTCCGGTATTTTCATTCGATAGTAAATCTTATTCAGTTCTGGAACAAGAAATGTAGATTTGGCTCGGTCGTTCATTAAGTAAAAATTGAGTCACATTTTTATACCAACGTTGACTACTTATGTAATTGGCTAAAAAATTCTGTATATTATTATTGTACCTCCATTTCCGGTGTAATATTGGAGCTAGATGACGGTGACTTAATGCAAATGGATTTTGAACTCTTGCCAAAAATTTACGAATTTACTCAACCAACCACGCCAACCAACATTTGCATTCAGCATATATCAACTCGTTTACTGTACAAAAACTCACAGACCAACTTCGTACGTAATAATATACACATGCTTTCCCCTTTACCGTATATCGCACTACTACCATCCCGTCAAACCAACAAACATCACTTTAACTGCACATTTAGTACGTTACATCAATACGCAAATATGTTGATGCAACGAATTGTTTGAGATGAATATTCGATGGTAAAATAAAAATGTGTCTACAATATAATATCCCATCCTCAACGTGTTTGTTTAAATTGATAATGCTCCCACCGATAATACCAGACAGTCCACTTTTTAGACATATCAATTTGCGAAGCTGTTAATTTATTAATTGGTTACGGTAGAATTTGAAACAATATACGATAAGTGACTTTATAAATAACAAATGTTTTTGCTTTGTGCCGTAATAATAAACTCATTCTTATTATTGTGGCATGTCGAACTGTTGAGCATTATATATTGTTCCAAAACAGAATCCTCTATCTTGATGCCATTCCGAGTCATTATTTTTAAGAAAATATGTGGCTTCTGGTACTCCAGCCCTCCTGCCTGCATATTGTTGTGCATACCTTTACCGTTACTACTCGTAAAGACAACCTAAAGGAAAGGACATCATTTTTCTTCGTCATCCTCAAAAATATCTCAATTAACAAAAATATAATATGTCTCGGCTTCCTTTCAAATACCCTCCTCTTGCCTAATGGTTTCGCTTAAAAAACTAACAGGAATGAGCGTGTGTGCTGTACAAGAATTAAAATACTTCGTATTCCAGTACTACTAGTACGGATGTACATAGGTTCCTTTCTTGGACACACTTTTCACATATTACAAAAATAGACGTACCTTAAATAAAAATTTAGTTATCTTTAGTCGCATCAAATATCTATAGTTTTCCAACTACTATACTTTAATTTTCCTACAAGTACATATCTGAGTCATCTTCATATTCTAGGATTTTGCCATCGACAGGCAGAGAGGCATTAGAGTAGAACTGCCTGCGAGAAGGACCACGGAGACAAAGCCTTTCACAAAACAAGGCGAACCTGGCTACACCGCATGTTTAATATGAATATGAGGTTACTTAGAGTTCATCCACCGTTACTAAACCAAAATTACACACTAATCAAATAAACGTCTCTTGCGCAAAGCACACGCAGCACTAATGAAAAGTTGATGCATTGGATTTATAATAAATAATCGGATTCGCGTGAATATTTCCCCATGAGCCCTGTCTTTCCCTCAGGCTAAATTCACCGTGTGCAACATACATAAGAGTCCACTCTCTCCAAAGAATCAAAGGTTCCATCAAATCAGACGAACGACGAACGACCGAATTAACCAAGATTATAAGCACTTCATTTTACACTCAAACCAATCCCAGACTTGCCATGCCTCAGGGAAAGCGGGGATTAATCCCTTCGCAGTTTAATTTAATGCTCTCATCTTTCTTGTTGTAGATTACAAATTGTCAGTTCATGTATTTAGTAGAACCATATACTTCTAATGCATAGAATACTGAGTGTACATACATGTGTACATAAATATGTATGCAATGTCGTCATGCATTAATACGATTTGCTGACTAATTCTTTATAATAACCACATTCATGGTCGCTGCTGGCTAATTAAAAGGTGTGTGCCGTAATGTAATGCAGAGTGCGGTGCATATTAAAAATGTTACCAGAATCATTTCTGCCCAAAGTGGGATGCGTCGCTTCTGATTCCGTCCCGTCCAGCGAAGTGCCGAGCCCTTCGTCTAACAAGTTGGCCAAACTCTCTCTGGACGACCCTGTATCTCCTGTAAGAACAAAAATGGACATTTTACTTGCGTATAATGACTGTTTTTTGTGTTCCCGTTACCCACCAGAATTATGCGGAATATGAAGACACACATTATCATCAATACTAAAGATTTTTTTCCAAAATTCGTGAATGAGAACTGAAAAGCTCAATAGCATATTATCTATTTGGTGGCCCGACCAATGTGCAAAGACAAATGTGCAAACGACAAATGTGCAAAGACATTCGTGCAAATGATAAATGTGCAACCTGACAAATGTGCAGCCCGATAAATGTGCGAACGATAAATGTGCAACCGATAAATATGCAGGAATTTTTCCAACAAATGGTGCAATATATCTTGATATAATTTAAACATCAAATCAAATTACATCTCCTCAAAACTAAAATTTGAAACATTAATTTTGTGGTGGCATCCCGTATGATGTCTGTTGAAGCTGTAGATCTTATATTGAGCAGTATTAATTTATTGTTAACTTAATATTTTACTAAATTATATTTTTATGGTGCATAAATTTCCTGGTACATACATCTTCGTGAATTCGTGAATTTTAGCCTATCGTATAGGCTGGAATTATGTACATATAAAAATTCTAAATTTCAATGAAATAATTCGGGATTTACTTATTTGCTGTCATTTTAAATTCTGTCCCCGAGGGGTGTCCCTAACTAAAGTTTAATTGTCACTAGCTAAATTTAGCATTACATAAATGTAAGGTTAGCATTGCAGTGATTCGGCACGGGAATTTTATTATAAAATTGACAGGGGTCAACCCCGTTATAATGATGATTAGTAATATTTAATAAGTATAAAATCTGCATTATAAGATCTCCAGCTTCATAAGCTTCACCACAAAATTAATGTTTCAGAATTCTTAGTTTTTTGATAAGATGTAATTTGATTTGAAGTGTAAATTATATCAAGATATATTGCACTATTTGTTGGAAAAATTCCTGCACATTTATCGGTTGCACATTTATCGGTTGCACATTTATCGGTTGCACATTTATCGGGCTGCACATTTGTCAGGTTGCACATTTATCGTTTGCACAAATGTCTTTGCACATTTGTCGTTTGCAGATTTGTCTTTGCACATTTGTCACCCCATCATGTATTTAGCTAAATGTGGTAGCAGCAGAATAATGAAAGTTTATGTATGGGTAGCAAACGTTCAAGTTGCTCGGGGCAGGCAAATGGAAAGAAGCACGCAATAGTCTCATTTGCTCTCTTGTTGTTAAAGAAAAGTGACCAATTAGTCCAAAGAAATGGAAAGGACGGAAATCACTGTTTCAAATTCTAAACCGGCGTCGTCATCTAGAATTGAAATAGTCATAAAATAAACTAGTCTACGTTAAATGTCGTTAATAGAGAAATGCAAGTCACAACAATTAATATTCCAAATAATAAACATGGTTTTCATTTGCTGCATAATGTATGAAACAGGAAGAATGAAATTGACATTTAAGACATTTGACTTATGTAAGGACGGTTCTCAACTAACGCGATAAAATAATTTCTGTTGAGGGACATTATAAAACTGGTGTCGTTAATTGCACAATACCAAATTGGTAATTAAAAATAGAGTTGACCAGCATGGTTTTAAATGGAATGATCGGATGCATTTTTGAAATAAACCTTCTTTGCTCGTATTTCTCAAACTTTCAAAATCTAACTGGTTCCTTTTTCAGGAGAGATGAAATGAATACTTCTGTTGTATCGTCATAGAGTCGATGGCGATCTATATCAATGTGCTTCACCTGTTTAAAGAGCTACTGTAGCTACTGTAAAGAGTAACTGGTGAATTATTATTGACTCACCTTCCAGTAAAAACCCTTCCATGATTGGATTGGACTGCGTGTGAAAAAATATGAGATCTTCCGGCGTAGCATCAGAACACAGGGATGACTTTGCTGAATCCGAGTCCACGGATGACGAAGTACAATTTGTCATTTGCTGTGCCAATTGATGCAGTGTCACTCCAACAGAATGTGCCTGAAAAATAAAGGGTACTTATGAACATCTTTTCTATACATACATATGTACATAGATATGTTTTCTACTTTTTAACCCATATCTAAATCAGGAAGTATTTAGAGGAGGCGGTCACTCAAAACTATATATTAATTTCAGTTGTCAAAATAGATATGTGAAGATGAAGCCAAGCTAAGAAACCGTTTATTATTATTTTTTTATTTCAAGACTTGGAAGGGTTGAGTAATGAATATGTAAATAATAAAACAAGATTTTTTGCTCCCTTGAGGTTTCTCATGTCTCCACTACTTCTTCAGACCAACCAAGTAATCTCGCCCCTTTCGTTGGTAGGTAAGAGCGTATATTAAAAAAAGGGACTTGGCCCAGTCAAGTTCAACTTTTTAGCTTTCATCTTCAAGGTCCACTCAACTAAGTCAAGCATGCCAACTCCAGAGATGACGTTAATAAAACAGTATCAAGTTTTCGTCAATATATGCTTAATAGTATTAATAATGGTACACGTATCTAGTCGTGAGTATAAGTAAATACGTCTACTTGCTTGTGTGTAGCAGGAGGAAACCAGGTTATTAAGTTTTGAGTGTAAAATGACAAAAACCGTCTGTGGTGTATTTCAATTTTTATTATTTACAAGGACTATGGAACGTACATACGTAGATCCCCCAAGGGTCGAATTCAACCCCACTCTTCATTTCTTCATTATTTTTTTTATTTTTAGTTTTTTATACTGAAGCATGTTTTTATTAAGTTTTTTCAAATATCCACACATGTGCATGTGTAGATATACCTCCTGTCTGTCTTGGTCGTCCTGAGTCCCACATGTATCCTTCATCCTTCATCTTAGCCCGACTTTTATTCTGACAACTGTCCTCAAATTCCCTTGATGCAACGGGTAAGCAAAAATGAGAAGAAGACTTTCTCCTTAATGGAGTAGTCTCAAGGAAGAATCCATTGAAAATCACCTTCCATTCTAAAATTAATAAGCCAAAAGCCTTCCAAATTATGAAATCCAATACAGCATCCAATTTTATTTGAACTTCTGAATTGATCCTAATAAGAACATGACATTGAAATACACATGAGTGAAAGGAATAATGATGTTCAACGGCTTCCATTCATGTACATCAAGAATAACTTGTATGTAATTTCAATCAGAGATGACCATACTTTCTCGTCAATTCCGGTATTTGGTCCAAGTTGTGCTTTGTGGTATTGAAACTATAAGAGAAACCTCACAACTTGTATTTTGTACTCTACTAAATGAAATGAAACGACAAGTCCCCTCATTTTGTCCCGAAATCCGGGAACACACATCGGATATCTTGAATTTGGCTGAGTAGCTCGTGAATCAAATCAGGCATCAAATGAAGACGAAGGGGGATGTCAAGGAGATACTGTTCAGTCGTCAATCTCAATATACGTGCTAACAATGTGTGAGTAAGATTCAGGGGAGAACGAGGGAAGGGACGTATGTTTTCCTCATACATACGTTATTGATGGAAATGGAGGTATATTCCTTAAATATCAAATTATATACTGCATTATTATATACTGAAATTTTTAAGACCCGCCTGATTTAATGTTAGCGTTTTTACCACACGGAAAATCATTTTAATTAAAGCGCAACATTAAAATACTTGAATATAAGATAAGAAGTGTAAATTTCTGCTGTGACACTGACGTCGGAACACACACCGAGTGTCTTCAAAGTTGCTTGATACACGGTTGGAGGGAGATGACGCATAATAGTAAATAAGAGCTTGAAAAAATTCAGTTTTACAGAATCTGACATGAATGAACGGTTGGCTGCATGGAATTGTATGTATGTATGTATGTATGTGCATATGTACAAATAGGTATACGCATTTATGAATAGGAGTTTGTACATATAGATACTTGTACATATGTGTAACTGGTTGGCAGGCATTTTCTCGTGATGTTACCTGGTTCACAGAATGGAAATCCTAGCAAATAGTTGCTCGATCAATTCTAAACAAAATCTGGAGTCCATTTATTTTATCTCCTTTATGCAGACAAAATCATAACCTCATATGTCACAGCATTTTTCAAGACATTTTATTCATCCATCACCAACCTGGTTGTTGATGGATGCATGTAGTAGCTAACCATTGATTTTTGAGGAATATACACTAAAAATTATTACAGTTTCGTCAGTATTTCCTCAGTAAGAAGAGTGAGAAATGTGATCCCATTATCCCGTGGTCCAAATTGTACGTATGCACATACATCTCGTCATACTTCATTGTTGCATAAGACAAGATGGATGTGAAGAACAAGTAAGAATGAAATGAAAACAAAATTGTTTGTCCACATTTCTGAAAACTAAAGCGGACAGAGATGGAGATTGAACTAAATTTGTGCCGATGCAATGAAAACATAGCTCCCAAATTTAAACCATTTATATATGTACATACACATGAAGGCTCTTAAAAAATATCTTAAATTAGCGACCATGAACCAAGTTATATGTACATACATACGTACGTACGTACATACATGTGTACATTTCTCAGTTTGCAGAGTGCACAATAATTCATGAAACTTTCCCTTCCATCATCTCACTTTTCACTATTTAATTTAACAAGTGAGTAACCAACAACATCCGACATCCCTCCAAATCAAAATGAAACTTCAGTTTCTTTGACAGATAGACATCGATATTAGAGGAGTTCACCCCAGCTAGTTAGTTATAATGCATCGTATACAAACAAACACACAACTAACCGTTTCTCGAACTATCTCGTATGTGCCTTTACCAACAACAGTTGTCTATCTTTCGTCTCACTTTCATCCTTCAACTTCTTCATCCTGCACACTGAAGCACGATGGAGAGACGAAGATGTATCAGAAGGGGCTCGGAGGGAAAGGAGGACGAGGAAATGCGAGAGAATGTGGATCTCTTACAAATGTAGCATAAGGATCCAGAGTGTAAGCTTTGTGAGCAAGTTGCAACATCCTCCCTTGCGTAAAGTAAAGAAAGGTAAAGTAACTCGGAATTAACCAAACTAAACAAGAGCCTCAACTCCCAACTCTCAATTCATTTTGTTTTGTTCGTGGAATCTCAAAGCAAACAAAATTAATCCAATTCCATCCCATTGTCATTTTGCAACATGAAATGGAAAGTTGGACTCGTGCTTATCCACCACCACCCCCAAGTCGCCCGTGAGTGGATTTTGATCAAATGAGTCGATGAAGAATTCAGATCGGTTACAGCGGAGAACAAGGAAATGAAATAAAAGAACCAAGAGGGAACAATCCATTTAATTTCAATCCCATATTAACCACTTCGCCCCTATAACGACTATGTGACGTATTTGACCTTTACGCCGAATACGACTATGTGGCGTAAGTTCCCTTGGCTCCGAAATACGACGATGTGTCGTATTGACCCTTGACAACGGAAACGACTATGTGGCGTATTTTCCGTTCCCACCGGCCTACGACTATGTGTCGTATTCGAAAAAAATTAGGTCATTGCTCTTCCAAGTATAGTTTTGAGTCAACAATCCGCCATTTGGGCGGGAAGATGAATTGCCTCTTCAGAACCAATGTTATAAAGGGAGGTAAAAACAATTTATAGCTAACTGGCTATTTCTAGCTAACACGCCCAGTTTTGAAAACTGCTGTTGCATGGAATTTTCGTCCCATATTTCAACAGCGCTTTCAGATAAAATTAGTGAAATTGTTTTTCTCGGATTTAGAACGCCCCAACGACATTTTTGGCGGGAAAACTAACCACTGGAGCCGATGAAATCTCGTTGGGCGGGAAAATTAAGAGATTGCCTGGAAAGTAGCATATAATTTTCCCGTTAAAATTGAGTTATATTCAAAATGCGCTAAAGTATGCTTTCGAACAGTTGATGCTATAATTATTCATTGCAACTGCTATCAATTTAAAGTCACGGTAAGAAAACGTTTGTTTTCCCGCCCTAAGTATGCGTAAATTCTATGCATGTTAGATGAACAAAAAGCAATTTTTACACATTTTAGGCTAATCACAAAATTATTTATAGCCGATGTCACGAATTGAAAGCAATATTTGCTGTTTAATTTTCCCGCCCAAATCGGCATCTGGGGCCTTTGAGGCGCGATAATCGATTTTTGTGAATATATGTACTATTATGCACTTATTATTCAATGTTTGTGCAACTTTCCATGCAATTACAATCATTTTTAAATTCGGCGTGTTGGCTATTTTCGGCTATAAACATTAGTGGTTCGCAAAAATGCCCAAAGGCAAATTACAACTCAAAATCCGTTCCCAAATGGTTATTCGCATCAACTTTCATAAAAAAGTGTCCAGAATAATTCCGGTGGGAACACCATTTTTCAATTCATCTCCCAGTAATTAACGTCATACAGTAGGTGAAAATTTCGGGGTCAAGGGAAGAAAAAATTCGCCGTTACTAGGGGTGAAAGGTATGAAAATATTCGTCTCTCAGGGGTGAAGTGGTTAAACAGTCAATATTTGTTTTGCATGGGGCATAGGCGAATTCAAATAGATTGCTGAATGAATGTAGTGCTTGATATGTGCTTACAAATTCATGTTTTTTCTTAGTGAGGCAAATACCTAACAACGAAAAAAATTACTAAAGGTGCATTTATGCTTCACGTCATCGTTACGTCCTCCTCCAAATCCGATTTTTTGATTGGTTAAAATTTTTAATTGTCGTAGTGATAATTTGGTTCAGCCAATCAAAAAATCGGATTTGAAGGAGGACGTGACGATGACGTGAAGCATAAACACCACTTAAGTATGCATTTGACCCACCCCAAAAAAGTGACCATCTGCGATATCTCAGTCATTTCTTAACCGATTTTGATGAAATTTTGCACCGATTATTGTTACGGAATTTAGAATCGATCTGCAATCCGACTAAGCGATTACTTGATTTTGACCGGAATTATGAGCAAAAATATGGCCTTAGAAACACATTTGTAATTATTGGAAATTATCAGCAAACCTTATCAAGAGTTTGAAC